AGTCAGACGGAGGGCAAAGAGGGCTGGTCAGGACAGGTTTGATCTGGTATACATGGAAAGTTTGGTGGATTCGGAGTGAGGATGGCAGATGCAGGCGGACGGCAGACGGGTTGATTACAGACTCAATCTTGTATGGGCCGATGAACCTAGGAGAGAGTTTACGGGACATGGACTTGAGGGGAATGTCTCGAGTGGAAAGCCAAACCTGTTGTCCGGGTGTGTAGGTGGGAGCAGGGCGTCGTTTGCGGTCTGAGAATTTCTTATTTTGTGCGGAGGTCCGATTCAGAGCTGATATGGTGTCCTTCCAAATTTTACGGCAGCGGCGGATGTGATGGTTGACAGAAGGGACAGAGATCTCTTTTTCATCGGCGGGGAACAGGGGTGGCTGATAACCTAAAGACACTTCAAAAGGGGACAGACCGGTAGCAGATGAGGTGAGTGAGTTGTGTGCATATTCTACTCACGGAAGATATTGGCTCCAGTATATCGGGTTGGTTGATGTGAAACAGCGTAGGGTGGATTCCAGTTCTTGATTCATGCGTTCTGTATATCCGTTGGATTGTGGGAGATAACCGGAAGTGAGAGAAATTTTGGTATTGAGCAGAGCAGAAGTGTTTCCAGACCTGAGCAGTGAACTGAGGGCCTCTGTCGGACAGGATTTCTTGGGGGATTCCATGAAGTCTGAACACGTGTTTGATGAGAAGTTGAGCTGTTTGGAAGGCAGTCGGAAGCTTTCTGAGGGGAACAAGATGGCAGGCTTTAGAAAATCTGTCAATGACTGTGAAGATAGTCGTCATACCTTTAGATGCTGGCAAACCGGTTACAAAATCCACAGCGATGTGGGACCAGGGGCGAGATGGAACAGGTAGCGGAAGAAGACCAGAGGGAGGCTGATGAGAGGGTTTGTTACGAGCGCAGACAGGACAGGTTTTTTTTTCTTTAGTGTCTTTGTGGATGGATGGCCACCAGAAATGGCGAGAGATCAAGGCTATGGTTCTGCTTACACCAGGGTGAGCTGAGAATCTTGCAGACTGCATCCAGTGGATGAGGCGGGACCTGACAGAAGAGGGTACGTACGTCTTGTTGGGTGGTCCATTTCCTGGGTTGGGTTCAGAAGCTTGGGCCAATTTTATCATGTTGGAGATTTCCCAGGAAACTGTAGCCACCGTACAGCTGGCAGGGAGAACAGGGTCCAGGGTTTTGGGCTTGTCGGGTGAGTACAGGTGAGATAGAGAGTCGGGTTTGATGTTTTTGGAACCAGGCCGGTAGGATATAATCAGGTTTAAGCGGGAGAAAAACAAAGACCAACGGGACTGACTGGGATTGGATCATTTGGCTGACTGAATGCAAGACAAGTTCTTGTGATCTGTCCATACCAGAACGGGATGCTCTGCGCCCTCCAGCCAATGCCGCCACTCTTCCAGAGCCAGTTTTATTGCGAGGAGTTCTCTATCGCCAACATTATAATTTTGCTCTGCGGGTGAAAGTGTGTGGGAGAAAAAGGTGCATGGATGAGTCTTTTGATCAGAATCAGACGCTTGGGACAAGACTGCCCACACCCCAGAATCAGAAGCATCCACCTCCAGGATGAACTGCTTGGAGGGGTCAGGTTGGACGAGGATAGGTGCACTGGAAAAAAGAGCCTTGAGCTTATTAAATGCAGCCTCAGCCTCCGCAGACCAGTGAAAAGGTCTTTTGACGGATGTCAGGGCAGTAAGAGGCTGGGCTGTCTGACTGTAGTTTCGGATAAACCTTCTGTAGAAATTAGCAATACCCAGAAACCTTTGTAGTTGTTTGCGATTTTCGGGAGTGGGCCAGTCCAGAACCACCTTGATCTTGTCCTCAGACGGCTTCACCTGCCCGCCCTCGAGCACGAATCCTAGAAAGAGAACAGAAGGACGGTGAAACTCACACTTCTCAGCTTTGACAAAAAGTTTATTTTCGAGGAGTCTTTGGAGAACCAAACGGACGTGTTTCTTATGTTCAGACATGTTCTTGGAGTAAATCAGGATGTCGTCAATATGGACAAAAACAAAGATATTGAGAAAATCTCTCAGAACGTTGTTAACCAGGGCTTGAAAACAGGCAGGAGCGTTGGTCAGACCAAAAGGCGTTTTTAGGAGTTTTAAATGCAGTCTTCCACTCATCTCCTTCTCTGATTCTGAGGAGAGGATAGGCGTTTCTTAAATCCAACTTGGTGAAAACTGTGGCTCCTTGGACGGGTTCAAAGGCAGATGCTAACAGAGGTAAAGGGTATTTGTTCTTAATAGTTATTTGGTTCAAACCTCTGTAATCAATACAAGGTTGCAGAGATCCATCCTTCTTACCCACGAAGAAGAAACCGGCCCCGAGAGGAGAAGAGGAAGGCCGAATAATTCCGGCGGCTAAGGAATCATTTATATACTTCTCCATGGTCTCCCTCTCGGGCTTCGAGATATTATAGAGTCGACTGCTGGGGAGGGGAGCCCCAGGTAACAGGTCTGGGCACAGTCATATGGTCTATGTGGTGGAAGAGACCACATAGACCAACCATAACTGGCAAACACTCTGGCACTGGAGAGACGTCCTCTGCCTCCTTAAATACAGATCTCCTGATGAGCAGATGAGCGACAGGTGGTAGCAGTCAGCTCCGGCTCCAGGAGATCTGGTACGCCCTCTGGTGGAGAAAGTGGACAGACCTCCAGATCCCAACAAATAGCATTTGCAATCATTTTTAAAGGACATACTTGATACATACGGCTCTGAATCTCTAATAAATACACTTCTTGCTTCAGTTAACAATACTTTAAGTCGTTTGCACGAATTTCACTGTTGATATTACTATTTGATAAATATTAAAGTAAGGCTCAAATAAAAGTGAAAGTATTGCATAATAGGATAATAATGTGTCACTTAGGCAGTGCAACCTCATTATCCCGCAGCCAAGCATTAATAATTCATTGGCAAGAGACATTGTGGTCGTATGGAAAAGGCATAACTCATGGCCAGTTGGTACTAATGCACAAACTTAAGGCTTATGTGCATGTTGTCCAAAATGAACTCCTCTAAGCCTATTTTTGGATATTTTTTTAAATAGTCCTACATGTGACTGGTAAAACTTCTGATTGTTCCAATTCCAAAGTTAATGCTCATAAATGAGCCTCATAATTAAAAAGGATAAACATCTCCGTTCCCGCCGCTGTGTAAATGCCAAAAAAGGGTTTTCATACACTTTTGGCGATATACATCAACAGGCCTGGGAAAACCTCCTCATAAAAGAATAAGGACTTTTTTTTAGCAATATTGGAAAAATATAAAGGCAGATAGCCTGCCTTAACCCAGATATTCTTCCTATTTGCAGATAATCTTTATCTGCTCGAATTAATGTTTAATACAGTTAAATTAAGGACAATTAACTTTTTTAGATCAGTTTTTGAGAGTATTTTTTTTAAGTTAATGTTTTGTTTTTTGAAACTTTAGTGGGTTTATTTAATATATTGCTGTCATTATTATTATTATTCAATGTTTTTATTGATAGCTATGTTTAGTGATTTGTTCATGTGGTTTACACTTCAGGGCCTCCATAAAAAAAGTTTTAAGACATATTCTAATGTTTTGAAAGTTAGACATTGCCTCATATAGTTAAGATTTCTGAACAGATTGCACTACTAACAGGTAGAACTACATAAAACGTTCCTAGATAAATCAACAGTTTATGGGAAGTGAAATCAGCCATATATTTCTGCAGGAATTTCTGGAGAGCAAATTCACCAAATGCCCTTAAAATCAATCTGGATCTATTTTTGGTTATTCTGAGTTTTTCAGAAAAGTTGGCATAGTTGAAAGTGTCAGAACATCGTCTATTGGACTCCTCTGTGCAAAGAAGCTCATCATCTCGCTCTGGAAAAAGACTTTAAAAGCCCTGCATCTCGGAGAGGACTCTGAATCAGTGGTGAACTGGGAGAGGTTGAAATAACATGGAGCCACACAGTGAACAGTAATCCTGCTTCACTCAGGTATCACTGCTTAGAGGGGTTGGTTAGTGGGAGAGATAATATTGATTTAATAGTTATTCATTAAGTGATGTTTTTTATTTATTTTGTTAGTTTGTCTTATGTTTATTCCTGAAATGAGGAGAGTTGCTCTTTAATGACAAATTTTGTATTATTGTACTTTGGCCTTTCAATAAAAAACATTTTAAGACAGAAGAAAGTGTGAAAACAGGTAAAACAGGTAATTCTCAAACCTGATGCACTAGAAGCAGAACAGTCTCACTGAAAACATTCAGCTTCATGTTGTGCTTCTTTAAGAAAATCTAAGATTCATCCTCAATGATCCAATAGTTTCAGTTCTTCCACAGGGGATCTAATTAATGAAAACAAAACAATCACAATTTCTTAAATCACCTCCTCTTATTCTTTAACATTTAAGTGACAACAGAAAGGATCCAAAGTAAAACACCCAAATGATACAGACAGCAAAAACACAAATTAATCAGAGGTTTTCAGAGCCGTTTATCAACTTCTCCCTCCTTTCACCAAAGTATATATTTTTAGATTAATTGAAAAAGAATAATGATTTAGTATTAAATATTGACAGGTTCATTATAGTAGGAGATTTTAACATTCATGTTAAAATTGAAGCTGAAAGCTTAAATGCAGCCTATTAACGTCATCATATTGTGCGTTCACACAAAATGGTATTCAAATGCCCAAAGCAATCAATTTGTATAGCCCCAATTACACTATCCTTTTGAAACCGTGCCAAAATTGGTTCGAGTACGGTAACCATGAAAAATGTTGAGTGTAAATGGCACGCACAACTGAACCGGATCGTGCCAGACAGCTTCCAGTAGATGGCGGTAGGTGGTGGCTGGCTTCTAAGCAGGTTGATAGGTGGAGGCTGGCTCCTCAGCACACTGATGGGTGAAGGCTGGCCCCTCAGAAGACTGATGGGTGGAGGCTGTCCCGAGTGGAAAGCCATACCTCCTACTATGGGGCAGGGCGTCTCTTGGAGTCCGCAAAGCGCTTGGTGGTCACAGAAGATCGATTGAGGGAGGCGATGGTGTCTCTCCAGACACGTTGACAGCGGCGGATGTGGTGATTGACAGATGGAACCGAAATCTCTCTCTCGTCTGCTGGAAAAAGAGGGGGTTGATATCCGAGACTGACCTGGAATGGTGATTGACCGGTGGAAGCAGACTTGAGGGAGTTGTGGGCATATTCGATCCATGTGAGGTATTGACTCCAGTCAGTGGGGTTGTTGGAGGTCAGACAGCGGAGAGTCGATTCGAGCTGTTGGTTCATTCTCTCTGTCTGACCGTTGGACTGTGGATGATAACCTGAAGTGAGTGACGACTTACAATTCAGAGCTGCACAGAAGGCCTTCCAGACTTGGGAGATAAACTGTGGTCCGCGGTCAGAGAGAATTTCCTGGGGAATACCATGGAGTCGGAAAACGTGCTTCACTAGGAGCTGAGCGGTTTGAAAGGCCGTGGGCAGTTTCCTGAGGGGAATCAGATGACATGACTTCGAAAATCGATCGACGATGGTAAAAATAGTTGACATACCTCTGGAGATTGGGAGACCAGTAACAAAATCTATGGCGATGTGAGACCAGGGACAAGTTGGTACAGGAAGAGGATGCAACAGACCTGAGGGTGGTTGATGTGAGGTTTTGTTTCTGGCGCAGGTAGAACAAGCTAAAACATACTCTTTTACATCTTTGTGCAGGGTAGGCCACCAGAAATGTCTAGAAATTAGGGCGATGGTTCTGCTCACCCCCGGATGAGCGGAAAACTTGGCTGTATGCATCCATTGAATCAGGCGAGATCTGACAGAAGAAGGTACATAGGTTCTGTTAGGAGGACCGTTTACCTGGGTCAGGTTCAGAAGCCAGAGCAGAGTTTATGAGATCGGTGATTTCCCAGGTAACCACTCCAACAGTGCAGGAAGCAGGAAGAACGGTTTCAGGCGTCTCGGATTGATCAACGGAATAAAGACAAGAGAGAGAATCGGGTTTGATGTTCTTGGATCCGGGTCTGTAAGAGATAATGAGGTTGAATCGAGAGAAGAAAAGAGACCACCTTGACTGACGAGGGTTTGCTTGTTTGGCAGACTGGATGTAGGCTAGGTTCTTGTGATCAGTCCATACTAAAACCGGGTGTTCAGCTCCCTCAAGCCAGTGTCTCCACTCCTCCAATGCCAGTTTGATGGCCAGAAGTTCACAGTCCCCAACGTCGTAGTTTTGTTCTGCTGGTGAAAGTCTACGAGAGAAAAATGCACAAGGGTGAACTCTTTGATCAGAATCGAGTCTTTGGGACAACACAGCTCCTACACCAGAGTCAGAGACGTCCACTTCGAGGATGAATTGCTTGGTTGGATCGGGCTGGATTAAAGGAATAGTACACCCAAAACATGATTAGCCTTCATTTTCTACTCACCCCCTTGCTGAACAACACTCTGGAGTACTTTTTTGATATCTCAAATGCATCTGGAGATCTGGGAAGCTTCTTGCTGTCTGCTGACATTCAAATAATGGAGGTCTATGGTGACCGAGACAGAAAGGTCCATAAAAGTCCACAAAAACGTGTCAATATTCCTCCATACTGCTCTTCCAATGTATTCCAAGTGTCCTGAGTGGGTAGCATCCAGAATTTACTCGAAACAAAGTCATTTAGAATGCTCTTCCTCAACACTGAAGTCCTCAGACATTTTTCTTTCGTTGTTTCTTTCTTTGCACAGGTAAACGGCACATTTCTTCTTCTACGCTTGCATTATTGGCAGAACAGACGCTGAATGCGCACTTTCATCTGGCTTGGTCTTCAGAATGAAGGCTAATCATGTTTTGGGTGTACTATTCCTTTAACACAGGGGCTCTGGAAAACAAAGTCTTTAGTTTATCAAAGGCGTTTTGTGCTTCGGGGGTCCACTGGAAGGTCTTTTTGACTGAAGTTAGAGTTGTAAGAGGAAGAGCTGTCTGACTGTAGTTCCTGATAAATCGACGGTAGAAATTGGCGAAACCCAGGAATCTCTGCAGCTGTTTACGGTTTTCAGGAACCGTCCAATCCAAAACTGCTTTTATCTTTTCTTCAGATGGCTTAACTTGCCCGCCCTCGAGCGCAAACCCTAAAAAGGTGACTGAAGGTTGATGAAACTCACACTTTTCGGCTTTAACAAAAAGTTTGTTCTCCAATAATCTTTGCAGGACAACGCGGACATGTTTCTTATGCTCAGAAAGATCTTTAGAATAGATCAGGATGTCATCAATGTAAACAAACACAAAGACATTTAAAAAGTCTCTGAGGACATCGTTGACCAGGGCTTGGAAACAGGCAGGGGCGTTAGTGAGACCAAAAGGCATGACTAGATACTCGAACTGGCCCAAAGGAGTCTTGAAGGCTGCCTTCCATTCGTCACCATCTCTAATCCTGAGAAGGTGATAAGCGTTCCTTAAATCGAGCTTAGTGAAGACAGTAGCCCCTTGTACTTGTTCGAAGGCTGATGCTAGTAACGGGAGTGGGTACTTATTTTTAACTGTTATTTGGTTAAGGCCTCTGTAGTCGATACAAGGTCTTAGAGAACCATCCTTTTTGCCCACAAAAAAGAAACCAGCTCCCAGCGGAGAAGAAGAGGGACGGATTATTCCAGCAGCTAAGGACTCATTAATATATTTTTCCATAGTTTCACGTTCTGGTTTGGAAATATTGTAAAGTCTACTGCTGGGTAAGGGAGCTCCAGGTAATAGCTCAATCGCACAGTCATATGGTCTGTGAGGTGGAAGAGACGTAGCACTGACCTTACTGAAGACAGGAGCCAGATCATGGTACTCAGAAGGGACAGAAGTAAGGTCAGGAGAGTCCATCTCCCCCCCGCCTCTAGGAGACCTTACAGCGGGAGCTGCAGAACGGAGGCACGTTTCGTGACATGAGGTCGACCATGACTCGATATGGCGATCAGCCCAGTTTATATGGGGATTATGTCGTTCCAGCCACTCGAAACCAAGCACCAAGGGCGAACATGCAGAGGGAAGAACAAAAACTGTCAAGGTTTCATGATGGTTACCCGAGATTAACAGCTCGAGGGGTTGCGTTTGGTGGGTAACCTGGTGGAGTCTCTTCCCATCGATTGCGGAGACACTAAGAGGCTGGGTTAGAGGAATGGTTTCGATTTGTAGCTGCTGAACTAGGTTGGAGTCTATCAAATTCCGTTCACAGCCCGAGTCAATGAAGGCAGATAATGTTGGATTCTGGTCTGAGAAAAACAAGGTGGCTGGGAGCATCAGATGAGGAGATTTTTCTGAATTCAAATGGCCCGTCAGACTCCTCAGATCCTCTGACGGGCCCCTGCTTTTGACTTAGCTGGGCATGAAGCGGTGAAATGGCCAGTCTCACCACAGTAGATGCATAACTTGCCTCTGAAACGTCTTAGCCTTTCCTCAGGGGTTAGCCTCGTATGTCCAACCGGCATGGGTTCGGCTTCCGTCTCCACTGCGTGAGAGACCTGAACTGGTAAAGAGAGCGACTGGGTTTTAGACCTCGGCTTAGAAACGGGTTCTGTGGGACCAGAAAAAACAATTGCATTATTAGATGCAGGGGCTGACACAGAAAAAGCTTGATTCCTTTGTCTTGAACTGTTTCTAGCTCGGATTCTGTTATCCAACCTAATAGTCAGGCGGATTAATTCCTCTAGAGTTGTTGGTTCGTCGAGGGTTGCAAGTTCATCTTTAATATTGTCATTTAAAGCCGTGAAATATGCACTTTTGAGAGCACATTGATTCCATCCGGAAGCTGCGGCTTTGACCCGGAAGTTGATGGAGAAATCCGCTACAGAGGAATCTCCCTGTCTTAGATTCAAAAGAGCACGAGAGTCAATTGTTTGGTCAGACTCTTGGTTAAACACCTGGGAAAACTCAGAAACGAAATCGGAAAAAATACATCTGAGGCTGTCTTCGGAGGCAAACCTTGCCTCCGCCCACTCTAGGGCTCTTCCGGTTAGTTGGGACAGAATAAAAGTTATCTTTTTCTCATCGGTTGGAAAACTGCCAGGAGAGTTCTGAAAAATAAGACAGCACTGAAACAAAAATCCTTTACAGTCTTTCATATTACCTGAAAACTTTTCAGGAAGACTAGGGCGGAACTCAGGTGATGACGTCACAGCCGGTGACCTTGGAGGCGGAACTGGACCCTGAAACGGTTGTGCTGCCGACGTGGCATTAGCACTGCTCATGTAGTTAGCATAGCATTGAAGCATTTGGTTATGGTAATTGACCATGTTATGTAACTCACGGAGGGTTTGAGTTTGTCCTTGAATTTGAGCGTCTTGCTCCTCCAGCCGACGACGGAGGTGGTCTGCTGGGCCTTGTGTTTGGCCGCAGTGTTCTGTCATGATGGGTTCAGAAAAGCCCAATATGCAGAACACAACGGAGACAGGTGAAAAGTTTAACAATGTTTATTAGAGCACAAGCGCATGGAATAAAAAACTGGAACTGGTTCAGGCCTGGGGGCAGGTTCACTGGAGTCTGTAAGGATGACAGTTCAGTTAGCTCTGGAACTGAGGAGTTTGAGTTTGAGAGTTTCTGAAGAATACCTTGATGAGTCCGGGTTTTACTTTGAGAGAGGAACTGTTGGGTCCAGAGACTGTTTAGTTCAGCAGAGTCCAATAACCGCTTCAGCGTCTTACTTCTGACTTGAGGGCAGACCTTGGTTTGGGTTTCCAGCTCTTAGCCAAGAGCTGTAGGGGAATCCAGAGAAGAGTCTTCAGGTTTGGCTCAGAGGGCAGGCTCGGCAGGTTAAGCTCATCCAGAGCTTCCAAGGGAAACAGGTTTCCTGAAAGCAGAGACAAGGAGGTGTTAGAATCTTATCTCAACAGAGATAACTAAGATTCTCAGGTGATAGCTAGGCTCAGGTGCTAACCAAACTGGATCAACACTGCGGCGTTGAGGCAAGGTCTGAAGGCAGGTTATATACTGGAGGATCCTCTGATGACGAGATGTGCCTCAGGTGTGTTGGAGGCTCAGCTTCAGGAGGATCCACGGCGCACTCTGCTGGATAGAGGTGGTACAGCTCCAGATCCCAACACAGGAAACATCTGTTTTTCACAAATAAGACCCTTTGTGGATATAATTTTCTTTACTGACTCACTTAGAAGGTATTTACAGTAAGTGAGTAAGTGAGTCACGTTAGCATAAGAGATGGAGCCTGCCAAATAGGTCAGCTCTTGTACTTTGGACTGTGCGTGCATTGTATCAATCTGTAAGAGCCAGCTGCACTGATTCTTTGCAATTCCCTATAACATGTTTGATTAAAGTGTTAAAATCTATTTCTATTTCCACCCCATGTACTTCTTGTATTGTTTTAATGTGAATCCACTGCAGGAACTAAAAGTTCAGGGAAAAGTTAAAGCGGATTAAGGCATTAAAACAATCACAACCCTTAATGCTGTATGCTCTCCATTAGAGCACCAACTGCACATCTAGTGGCCAAGTTGGCGCAGCCTGCTCCTGCGCTCTTTGTTATCTATCTATCATCTTGCACTAAAAAAAGACAGCGCATAAAACTTACTTAAAAAAAGTATATTGTAAGTATTTGCACACACGATGTAAGTAAAATTTAATGCTGCAATTTCAAGTAACACTCACTTTCCAGTATAAAGTGAATTTTACTTTTCATAGGACACAATAGTTGGGAAGATATTAAGTAAGATTTACATAATTATATCCATTTTTCATAGGCACAAACAACATTTTACTCAAAATTTTAGGTAAATTTGCAGTCATGAAGTAATTAAGTAGATATTATTTTCTTGTGCTTGACATATTGATTTACTTTGTTGCATTATGTTACATTACTCACTAATATTAGGTAATCATTGCCAGTTTTCTTTTGATATATGTCACCAAATAAATGTAACCAATAGGCTATACATTTAATATACATTAATGTCATACTCTGTGTTCTAGGTGCAGGTCTGTTTTTCTTTCTCTCCATCCTCTACAGGGCTGGACTGGCAGGTGCGTTCCATCAGAACTAATTACCACCCTTCATAAGTAACTGGAACCAGGAGGAGGGTATCAGTTTGTTTACCCTTCAGCATGATACAGACCTAATCCTTGTTTAACCCTATTATCAATGAAACCTTAACCTAACCTCGTCCTTGTTGTTTCCTCCTAAAAAAACATCCAGTGAAAGACCTAGAAACCAACGCCTGGGATCAGAATCAGAAAAACCCCTGGAAACCTTCTCGTACAAGAGAAGAACCTCTGATCTTTCTGTCAGCCCTCCTGCCTGCGCTTGCCTGCCTGTTCACCCTTTAGCAAAGCAACACAGAGAGAGAATCTGGATCTGCACCAACAACCCGGACAAATGAACAGCACTTCTACCCCAAGACCAAGCCCAAGGCAGCACCTCAATGAGTTCACCAGCCAAACATCATTTTCACAAATTGCAAAGCTCAAGTTTTTCACCATCCTCCCTATCTTTCCCAGCAGAGCTCACAAGACCCCCGACCAGCTGAAATTCAATCTTGTTCATCTCCATTTTTTCAATAAACTTTTCAAATATACCAACTGTTGCAGTTATTTCGCCCATTCTGAGGCACACATTCAAAATATGACAATTAAACTGTTTATTTTTCATTTAAAACAGTTTAACATAGAAGTAAATACCCTATTGTATTGAATTGCCCAATCTTTCATGGGGCAGACAGAAATTTGACAGTCTAACTGGAATCCACACATCCATCCATCCATCCATCCTTCCATCCATCCATCCATCCATCCATCCATCCATCCATCCATCCATCCATCCATCCATCCATCCATCCATCCATCCATCCAGGGGCTGTCCCATTTGCTATATATGCTCTGTGCGACTCCAAAACTGACTGTTTGCCCAGACGATTAAAAGATTTTCTTGCAATTCTTCCAAAGCAGAGGAGTTTTACTTGAGTTTTACTTTGTAACCAAATATCTCTTCTTGTTTGAACCATGTAATTGGAGTGTGATACTGCAGGTCTGGTTTCTGTCTCTCTCTCTTCTCTGCAGGGTGTGATGGGCAGGTGCAGCTCATCCCTGGTAATTTTGGAGCCTACTTAAGGAGCTGGGACCAGGAGGAGGGCGTCAGTTCTTTCTCGCTACCAGCGTGGTATATGACCGACCAGCTTTCTCTTAGATTTGTATTCAAAGCAGATCTAATCCCGTGTCTCTGTTTTTTCCCTCCTAGCAACCACCCAAGCCAGTTTGCCTCAGCCCTCCTCCAGGACCCTACCTGCCTCTCCACACTCCTACACACAATCACCTGAAGGGTAAAGAGTCAGTTGCTCCTGGACCCAGGACACAATCCTTCCAAGCTCAAAACAACCTCAAGCCCCGTGAGTTCAGCATCCTCCACCTTCCCTCCACCTCAGATCAATTGTTCACCATCACCCAATCTTTTCCCTAGGCTGTACCAGGAAGATCCTGCCAGACTCCATTTTCTGTTCTTTGTTTTAATAAACTTTTCCTTAAACTAAACTAACTGTCTCTGTGGTTGCCCTGATTCAGAGTCGTTCTTCTCTCATTATGACATGGAGCTGACTCGCTGCACTGTCCAACTATAATAGAACTGGGGTCTCAGTCGGGGCAACCCAAGCCCCCATGCAGAAAATCATGTCGGGTGTGTTCATCCCCATTGACTTTCAATGAGCACTGAACAAGGCGACCTTGTCCGGCACAATTTTCTGTGGGATCGTATGCAAAATCGGATTCCGTGTGTTCAGGGCTCAAGCTGAGCAAAGTACTGGGTTGCTTGAGGGACTAGAGCCCCATGGAAGGAAAGTGTGGGTAATGTAAATTAGTTGGGTAATTCTGTATTGAAAAGCAAGCCTGATTTGCCTTTGAGAAGACCCATGCTTTGAGCGACAGTGGAAATGGGGCTATGAGCAATTATTTTTAGGATACTTACAGATACATACGGCTCTTGGTCTCGAATAAGCTCACATCTTGTTTTAGTAACAGTACTTTCTCTTTGCTCAGTCATTAGATTGATGGTATAGCTTGCTTCCTCTCTGTTGTTATCACTCTTTTTTTTATAAATAACCTTGCAGTATTTCTGCTGTTAAAGAGGTTTATCTTGTTTGTAAACTTTTGTGCTTGGCTTTCAACATCTTATTTTTTCTGAGTATTGCTCCAGTTCAAATGCCATTAGATTTAAAGTTGTAAACTCTTCCATCTCCATATTTGATTGATGCTCCGTCTTCACAAGCTGTTTTTATTTGTATTTACTCATCTGTAAAAATCATAGCTATAAACATTTCACTATAATTTTTTTATGGAAGAATTACATTTGCAAACATAAACTGGAGTTTCAAGCAGATTTGCATTAGATAAGGTAAACATTTTCATAAATATGATAAAATTTTGATTCACAAAATATTTTAAAAATATAAAAGAAAAAGGTTTATAGCTGTATTGGAACATCTAAAAAATACTTTGACAGACATCATTTATGCTTCCATGGTCAGAGATCAAGTTCCCGTGGCATTTGTTCTCAAACAAACTTCCTTTCAATCTACAGGGTGACAGGATCTTTTAGTATATCATTTTAAACCTATATGTATAAAAAAGCAACCACATATTAAATATAAAAAAAAATGCTCAGCTTATTTAACCTTTTTTAAGCATTTTTATTTGTATGGTGTAAAACAAAATAATATCCCTTGTCATTCTCCATCTTTAATGATTGATCAAAATGTCAACATGTGGTCAGTTTGCAGTCCAAGTCCACAAAGTCCATTTTAATCATAGCATTCCTGAACCCGCATGGAACAAGAAACCTATGGAGATTTAAGATATAAACAAGTTTTTATATATTTATTTAATTAATCTCTTAACAGTGGGCCAGAGTTTGTGGATGATCAGGTAAGAGGTTAACACTTTTCAGCTGTTTGAGAAAGCAGAAATTATAAAAAAAAAAAAAAAAGGGGGCTCATGTCTTCCAGGAATTCTTCACGTGTAAAATATTGAAACAATAATCTCTCTTTTTACTTAAATTTCTTGTACCCTTTGCAGGGCCGGGCCTCTGCTAAAGATATAAAATGGAAAAACAGCTTTATCTTTCAATTTTGTTTACAGGTGAGATTTTGCTTTTTAACATACTCCGAGCTTTATATTACAGCATTAATATAACATTATATAGCATTTGCTATATAGAGCAAATCTTTCCTTTACAATTATAGCTTAATAAAATATGTATGTGCTTCTAACTACAATCTTCACAGAAAGCAGAAGCATAGGACACTAGTATGATAATAAAACATATATTAATGGTTTAATCTTATATATTTTTGTCTGTTTTTTAAACTGAATAAATTTTACAAATTGCAGCAATTTTTAAACAGATAGTTGTTTTCAATTTTTATATCCACACTCATAATGACTGACACTATATATAACTGACCTTTAGGTCTTCTGAGCTTACCACTGCTAGCAGGTGAGTACATTTCAAATATAAATGATTGGATATGCAGGTACATCTTATTAAAGAGGGCTCTTCAGTTTTGGTAACTTTTCATTTTCAGAATGTGAGAAAATTAGGTTGCGTGGGCCTTCCCGTTGCGCTGGCAGAGTGGAGATCTTTTATCAAGATGCCTGGGGAACGGTGTGTGATGATCACTGGAGCATGGCCAATGCTGAGGTGGTATGCAGAGAGAATAATTGTGGCACAGTTATGGAGGCCAAAAAAGCTGCGTTCTTTGGAGAAGGCACGGGTGAAATCTGGCTGGATGATGTACAGTGTACTGGGAAAGAGACCTCCATTACCAAGTGCCCACACAAACCCTATGGGGTAAATAATTGTGGGCATAGTGAAGATGCTGGCGTTGTATGCTCAGGTAGGCCTGATTTTAATCACAGTGTATAATATGTATCACAAATGTATAATAATGTATTTGTATTACCTTGGAAAACAGATGTACTTGCTTTTTGACAAGAGTTAAAGGCTTTGTGTTCCCAGTTTGTCAAACAACAGAAATATCTTTATTATTAACCCATATAAAATTATGTCTTAAAAGTAAGGGCCGCTTAAACCAAGCCCAGTGGGCTCTATTTCACTGCAATGGTTTTAAAGAAAAAATTTACCCAAAATATTATCTTTACATTCTAAAGTTTTATTTCAGGAGGAATCAGTTCAGTTGCGTAACTCACGTCGGTTGGGGAAATTGGGGAATTCTCTTTTCATGTTCTTTAAGGTAAACACATTTGTCACGTGTCTACCGTACTCGTTATCTCGAGTTCACGCTGAGATATCTATAAAAGCCCCTCAACAAACCTTGGAGCTGGCAGCCTCTGGAAAGTTATCTTTGAATCATTTGCGGAATTTCTTTCAAACAAAATTTCAATTTGTGACAAAAACATGAAAAGATTTTCAAACACATTTCACTAATTAGCCCTTGCATAAAGACAAAACTTTTCACATCCCATGCAGGACAAAAATTGTATGTGGTTATTTTAAAATTGAAAATTCAGATATTCACATATTTATAATATATAAATGATCATATGTGTGTGTCAATATATTTTTAACACAAGGACTTTTTTATGTTATGTAGCTAGGCCCAAGACTCATTCTTTCTTTTTTTGTTTTGTGGCATAATTTAGTCTAAAAGTCTTCTGAAGTCATTAAAACCAGAATGAAAATGTAACTCTTGGTAACGAACTCAGCACAGAAAAAGTTATATTAAGACAGATGTTTTTTGGGCAGTTACCAGAATAAATAAGAATTATGTGTTACCTCTTGCATGGCAGTTGTAAGGCAGCTTGTTGATAGAGCTCTTAGAGATACAGTGGACGCTGATACCAGTTTGTATTTTGCAAGCTGAGGACAGGTCCAGGTTATAATCTCCTTCGTGGTGCACTCTTATGTGCTGTAATGAAGGATGAGGGGAAAACACTGTAAGAGTAATTAAGGCTACTATTGAAAATGCTTCACTTATAGTTTACAATAAGAAATGTTGATAAATCAAAATTTAGAATAATTATTTAATATGTTTGATAAAAAAATATTTTTTTTGCATTTGTTTTGGCGAACTAAGTCCTTTTGAAAATACATGTATATCAGAAACCTTCAAATTTGGAAAATGTGTGTTTTCCTTTAACCAAGTACTTTAGAATAGTTTTTTTTAAGATAGGTACTACATACAAATTGCTCCAACCTTTTTCAGGAAATATAATCAAATTTTGACCAAGGCAGGGTGGTAGAAGCAAGTTTTTTCACCGTGCCTCGTTACACAAATTACAAAATGTTAAGTAGAGTGATAGCCTGGTTTAAATCTTACCTGAGTTGTAGGGATCAGTAAGAGTAAATCACACACTATACCCCCTACAAAGCTGCAATATGAGAGTACCTCAAGGCTCTGTTTTCTGGCTTTTGCCTTTTAGTCAGTTCAGCAGTGACTTGTCCCAGACGGTATCATCACTACAACACACTTCTATATGTATTTTCTTAACATTTTGATAATTTAGCAATGTATGGCAACATTGGCCTACCTTCTAAGATACTTGACAATACCCCAAGTCACAAGGACGACCTCTCGGGGAGCATGTAGCCCTCCGAAATGACCTCTTTGGCCATGTCAGTTTTCTTTTCAATTGGCATGTATCAGTGGAACACTTAACGTATAAGATATCAAACATTTGCACATTTAACGAAGCAACTACCACCTACACCATACCAACCTCTATCAATCAGCTTGATCTGACAGAACAAAGTTGTATTCAAACTCTTTTGAGGATATAAAAACTACCCTTACTACTATTTCATAATAACTTACTATTTTATACTACTTACAATTTATAATACTCACTACTTCATAATAACCAGATCAGGAATTCAAAATTATGGGTTAAAATCTCATAATCATTACTTCAGATGTCATAATTAGGAGATAAAATATCATAATTTTGAGATAAAAATGATGTAATTCCAACATAAAATCTTTTTATTACAAGATAATATGTCATATTTAGTAGAAAAGGTGTTATAATTATGAGATATGGATCACATTATCATGAGATACTGAAATGTAATTATAAGATAAATAGAAAGCAGCCATTTAACTGAAGTTAAGTTAGACTTTGCTTTGAAAAACGTCCGTCAAGCCAGCCTTTACAGGGTTTTTATAGATCACGCCTAAATCATAAAACATGGTAGTAAGGGTGGCTTGGACTTTTCAAAATAAAAGTGAGTCATCATCTTTACCCCTTTGGTCAAAAAATAATTTCTTCTATCCTTACGTGAATATGGACATATATGAAAATGATTTTAACGTTTTTTATAATTAAGTTTGTCACTGTGATCTCTATATTTGTCACTTTTTTCAAAGTCTCTGTAAATATTTCAAGAAACTCTCTGTTTCAACTCACTGATTTTAATTCAGGGTGATAATAGGACACCCCTAGATGCTGATCACCAAAGGTCATCAAGATTTGACATGGAAATTCAAAGCTAAACCCTCTCAACATCTGTAAAATTGGTTACTTTATCTAAGCTACTGTCACAGTTTCTAATAAACGTTGTTACTAGCCACTAATCCCTTTTTTACTGCCTTTTACTTTTAGAACATGTTCGAGTTGTCAATGGAACGAATCGTTGTAATGGTAGAGTGGAGCTCTTCAATGATGGTCAGTGGAAACGAGTGTGCAGTAGCGAGTGGGGGAAGGAAGAAGCTGACGTGTTGTGCCGGGAGATCAGCTGTGGGTCACCTGTTGTTCAATCTGCAACACAATACTTTGGAGAAGGGCAGGGTCGGAACGGTATCAAAACCAATTGTGTTGGAAATGAGACCTCCATCTCTGAGTGCACTCTACAGGAATTCAGAGAAACGTGCATTGATGCTACCATTTCCTGCACGAGTAAGTCAGTTGTCATTATACCACTAATTTTCAGTAATGTGAATAACTACTTACAATTTCTATTCTGAAACTTGACAGATGGCAAGCCGATCCGGCTTATAAATGGTACTAATCGGTGTTCTGGTCGAGTTGAAGTCTACCATGATGGACAGTGGGGAACTGTTTGCGATGACAAGTGGGGTATCCAGGAAGCAGCCGTAGCTTGTCGAGAGTGGAACTGTGGAAATGCACTTGCAGTCAAGAACAAGGCATTCTTTGGCGAAGGACAGGATCAGGTCTGGTTGGATGATATTGAGTGCAATGGTCATGAGAAGTCCCTATCTGAATGCCCACATAGAGGTTATGGAGAGCATGACTGTGACCACCATGAAGACGCTGGTGTAATTTGCTCAGGTAACTAAGACTCTGTTTTTGTTATTTATGTACATGCACATCATTTGAGATATATCTAACCTATGTCTCTACTTGCCTCCCAGAGTCTGTGAGACTGATAAATGGGACTGACAGCTGCTCTGGTAGAGTGGAGGTCTTCCACAATGGTCGGTGGGGAAAGATCTGCAGTAACAGTTGGGGTGCTACAGAGGCGAAAGTTATCTGTAAAGAACTAAATTGTGGAACTCCAAAAAAATCTCAAGATGTCTTCACTTTTGGTGACAGTGCACTGGCAGGATTCATAAGTAGATGCTCTGGTAATGTGAGCTCTATCAGCCAGTGCGTGGTTGATGAACATATCGGAAGATGTGATGGTGTTTCTGTTGCATGTACAGGTAAGGCAGAGACTGTAAAAATAAGACTAAAAAATAGAATGTTCTCTCATAAAGAAGTTTACCAGTCTGACCTGTTTAGAAATACATTCTTTAACTAAACCAACTACAGGTGCTGGTCATAAAATTAGAATATCATGAAAAAGTAGATTGATTTCAGTAATTCCATTTAAAAAGTGAAACTTGTATATTATATTCATACATTACATACAAACTCATATATTTCAGATGTTTATTTTGTTTAATTTTGATGATTACAAATGACAACAAATGAAAATCTCAAATTCATCATATCAGAAAATTAGAATATTACTGAAGACCAATAAAAACAAAGGATTTATAGAAATGTTGGCCAACTGAAAAGTATGAACATGAAAAGTATGAGCATGTACAGCACTCAGTATTTAGTTGGGCCTCCTTTGGCCTGTATTACTGCAGCAATGCGGCGTGGCATGGAGTCGATCAGTCTGTGGCACTGCTCAGGTGTTATGATAGCCCAGGTTGCTCTAATAGTGGCTTTTAGCTCTTCTGAATTGTTGGGTCTGGTGTATTGCATCTTCTTCTTCACAATACCCCATAGATTTTCTATGGGGTTAAGGTCAGGAGAGTTTGCTGGCCAATTAAGAACAGGGATACCATGGTCCTTCAACCAGGTACTGGTAGCTTTGGCACTGTGTGCAGGTGCCAAGTCCTGTTGGAAAATGAAATCTGCATCTCCAAAAAGTTGTTCAGCTGCAGGAAGCATGAAGTGCTCTAAAACTTCCTGGTATGTGGCTGCGTTGACCCTGGTCCTCAGAAAACACAATGGACCAACACCAGCAGATGACATGGCACCCCAAACCATCACTGACTGTGGAAACTTTACACTGGACTTCAAGCAACGTGGATGAAGTGCCTCTCTTCTTTTCCTCCAGACTCTGGGACCTTGATTTCCAAAGGAAATGCAAAATTTACTTTCATCAGAGAACATGACTTTGGACCACTCACCAGCAGTCCAGTCCTGTTTCTCTTTAGCCCAGGCAAGACGCTTCTGACGCTGTCTGTGGTTCAAGAGTGGCTTGACACAAGGAATGCGACAGCAGAAACCCATGTCTTTCATACGTCTGTGTGTGGTGGTTCTTGAAGCACTCACTCCAGCTGCAGTCCACTCTTTGTGAATCTCCCCCACATTTTTGAATGGGTTTTGTTTCACAATCCTCTCCAGGGTGCGGTTATCTCTCTTGCTTGTACACTTTTTTCGACCACATCTTTTCCTTCCCTTCGCCTCTCTATTAATGTGCTTGGACACTGAGCTCTGTGAACAGCCAGCCTCTTTAGCGATGACCTTTTGTGTCTTGCCCTCCTTGTGCAAGGTGTCGATGGTCGTCTTTTGGACAACTGTCAAGTCAGCAGTCTTCCCCATGATTGTGTAGCCTATAGAACTAGACTGAAAGACCATTTAAAGGCTTTTGCAGGTGGTTTGAGTTAATTAGCTGATTAGAGTGTGGCACCAGGGGCCATCAATTTTGAACCTTTTCACAATATTATAATTTTCTGATATGATGAATTTGAGATTTTCATTTGTTGTCATTTGTAATCATCAAAATTAAACAAAATAAACATCTGAAATATATGAGTTTGTATGTAATGTATGAATATAATATACAAGTTTCACTTTTTAAATGGAATTACTGAAATCAATCTACTTTTTCATGATATTCTAATTTTATGACCAGCACCTGTACTAGATAAGTCAAAGATACAACAGATATCATTTAACCAAAAGACAAAATCATAGGAATATAGTTGCTTCTAGGGTTTCAGTTATGTGCCATTTTAAGTAGGTTAATATAGATAAGCCAATTTCTAAAGTTTATACTATTCCAAAGAAAATTGCCACTTAACAACAACATGACTGTTCCTTAGGAAATCCACCTCTTAGGGTTGTCAATGGCACTGATCGATGCTCTGGCAGAGTGGAGGTTCTGCATGATGGCCAGTGGGGAACAGTGTGTGATGACGAATGGGACATCAGAGATGCTCAGGTCGTTTGCAGAGCCTTGGACTGTGGAAGTGCTCAGACTGCTAAAACTTCAGCTTACTTTGGTCAAGGCCAAGGAGACATCTGGCTTGATGACGTCAATTGCATTGGCAATGAGTCTTCGCTCATACATTGCAGACGTCCTCCTTTTGGAGAAAATAATTGTGGCCATGGGGAAGATGCTGGAGTGATTTGTTCAGGTATGTTACACAATATTTCAATAACCACTATTTCAAATGTCTGGTTATATGTGCCGTATTTTCACGACTATAAGGCGCACTTAAACGTCTTTTTTTCCCCTCAAAATGTGCGGTGCGCCCTTTGGTACGGTGCGCCCTATGTGTGTTGTAACTGCGACTTTTGAGACCACCTCATTGAGGAGATGATGAAAGAGTGGCTGAATGTAAGGAGACCAGGTGTTTTTTTTCCACTCATCACCATCGCTGTTAATATGTAACTCCATGCGTGCCCATCTCACAGCTGATGTGAAAAACATGGGGAAACAAATTAACGCTGTGCTCGCTGTTCAACCGCTCGACATCGGTGTGAACCGTACCCAGCAGGTGCAGCAGAAGCAGCAAGTTTACATGCAAAGTCAATGGTTGACGCGCGTATAGGTGCAGCAAAAGGTCCCGCAGCGCGTTTTGAGCAGCAGGCGCAGTGCTTCGAGAGCGTTTAAGCATCTGACGCACCGCCAACGCGCTGCTGCTGCTCGAGATGGAAAAATTGAAGTTTTGCTGCTGGACGCGCCGCATCAACCAATCAGAGAAGCTGATCTGGGAGCTGACAGCGAGACAGACTTAGCGCTCTGATGACATATGATATTAACGCAAATGAAAAAAGCTGGATGGATGAGGAGATGATGAAAGCGTGGCTGAGGCAGGTGTATGTGAGGAGACCAGGTGGTTTTTTCCACGCATCACCATCGCTGCGTGCCCATCTCACAGCCGATGTGAGAAAAAGGTGAATCAAATGAACGCTGTGCTCGCCGTTATCCCGGGGGGTCTGACAAAGGAACTTCAACCGCTCGACATCGGTGTGAAGCGGCCGTTCAAAGTAAGGCTGCGAGCGGCGTGGGAGCGATGGATGACAGACGGAGACCACAGTTTCAGGATAAGTGGAAGGCAGCGCCGGGCAAGTTACGCCACCGTTTGCGGATGGATTGTAGATGCTTGGACTAACATGTCTGCTGGCTCTGTTGTTCGAGCTTTCGCAAAAGCCGGCATTATTTCTGAGGAGCCGCGCTGCACGGAAAGTGACTCTGACAGCGAAGAAGGGGAAATTGGCATGTCTGATTTAGCGCAGCTGTTTAATTCAGAAACAGAGGATGATGACTTTGATGGGTTTGATTAATACTTTGTAATAAATACATGAATAAAGCACAATCATACTCAGTTTTGCTCCCGCTCTATTTTTCTACCTGAAAACTTAATTCAATAGCAGCATCTGGGCAGGGTTCACCGCGGTGGCTGGCAGGTGTTTTTTCATCTAAATAATCTAAATCTTGCAGCTATATTTGCTGTGATCAGTGGGAATAAAGTAGTTTTAATATGTTTTTAAGTGAGAAAGTCCACCTGAAAACTTAATAATTGCAGTCAGTTCATCCAGATTATCTATTTCTGTCGGAGGCGCTCAGACCCCCACATACCAGCGGTGCACCGACAGTAGAAATCCCTTCATCAGCAGCCTCTGGGCCGGGTAGCCTCCGGGTTCACGCGGTGGCTGGCAGGTGTTTTTCATCTAAATAATTTAAACTGCAGGCACCAGGATACCGGTAATAAAAGCGAACATATTCCGTCGGCAGGTTTCAGGATTTTAAGTTAATTTAGGAGTGATCACAGCACTGTGTCATCTGCGATGTGTCTGTCTCACGGCCAGCTCCCAGGTTTGATTAATACTTTGTAATAAATACATGAATAAAGCACAGTCATACTCAGTTTTGCCCCCGCTGTATTTTTAAATGCAGTAGAGGTATTTAAAGGTAGAAGAGGACATGTAACTGTATATAAAAAAACGCGCCCTATAGTTCGGTGCGCCTTATGTGTGTGTTAAATACAGAAATGGGACACATAACTGACAGTGCGCCTTTTAGTACGGTGCGCCTTATGGTCGTGAAAATACGGTATATGTTCTTTGTCTAAATGTTTTGCCCCCCTAACCAAATTGTTTTATGTTTTTTAGCTAACCTCAGGTTAATCAATGGCAGTGATGTGTGCTCTGGTAGAATTGAAGTCTATCACAGTAGCCACTGGTCACCAATATACAATATCAACTTTGGTATGAGTGAAGCTGCAGTGGTGTGCAGAGAGATGAATTGTGGAGATGCTGTCAAGATTCCAGGATCATTTGGTCAAAGTGGAGACCTCAGAGGCTTAAAGATGAGTTGTAGTGGTACAGAGCATTCTGTCACTCAATGTACACTGAGAGAGCATACCAAGACAGGAAATGATCATACTGAAGAGGCATCAGTGCAGTGTTCTGGTATGTGCTATGTTGTGTTTTAACACAATCTATCTCATTTGAATTATTATTATTATTATTGAATTATAGTAATTATTATTGAGTTTTAAAACATGACTTATACTTTCAATTTCATGACTATTGCTTTCTTTCACCTGTAATTTTCAGGAAATGTTAGGTTAGCTGATGGGTCTCACCACTGTGTTGGAAGAGTGGAGTTTTATGATAAAGGCCAGTGGGGAACTGTGTGTGGGGAATCATGGGACATGGATGATGCAATGGTGGTGTGCAGACAGCTAAACTGTGGAAGGGCTCACAAGATTACCAGATTGTCTGAGTTTGGAGTGGGCTCCGGACAGACCTGGATTGAACAAATTGAATGCAATGGAAGGGAGTCTACACTCTCTCAATGCCCACAGAGACCTTATAGAGACAGAACCTGCAACACAACTGCTATAGCTGGTGTGATTTGCACAGGTAAGAATTGATGGCTGTGTCCTAATGTACGCCCTAATCCCTATATAGTGATTATGCCATTTTAGATGAATGTCTAAACTCTAGTGGATTAAAAAGTGGTGGACTTGAAATTTCCCACAATTCACCTTGAAAAAGTAGAGATCATCCATGGTCACTAGACAGGCAGATATATCTTGGAATGCTTTGTGAGAGCTCTCCTCACAAAGCCTTATCAGATTTGTCATCACAGCGCAACTGTCGCTACCCAACAGCAGCGACAAATAACAAAGATGACGTAGGGACCATGCAGGGAGGCAGAGTCACGTGACCAACTGGGAGCGAAAAGTAGTGATCACCTGTCTGAACGGTCAGTTAACTCAGTTAACCATAAAGTCCGCTATATAGCTCCTGCCCTATATAGTGATTGAGGGATTAACGGGTTGGGGTGGACGTTTGGACACAGCCAATGTTTGAAAAATTAAATATTCATGGTCGTCGATGCTTTCCTTCACTTTTTTTAGCTTGACATTGTTTATGTTGAAAGTACACACTGAAGTTCTTTTCGCTAAGATTTATTGTTGTTTAAAAACTCCTGACTTCCAAACTCTTTGTTAGAATGATTACATATTTTTTATGATCTGACTTCAAAGGGAGCTTGGAGGTCCGGTTGGCTAATGGAAAGGATGAGTGCTCTGGAAGAGTTGAAGTCCGTCATGGTGACACATGGCATACAGTATGTGATGCATCCTGGACGGAAAGCAAAGCAGGAGTGGTATGCGAGGTGCTGGAGTGTGGCCGTGCTATAACTGCTCCTGGTGGTGCCAGCTTTGGTCAAGGCAACGGAACTGTGGTGGAGTCCAGCAGCACATGCTTCAACAATCTGACTTCTTTACAGAAATGCTCTGTGAATGGTTTCAGTAGATCAACATGCGGACATGAGCATGATGCAGGGGTCATGTGTGCAGGTAAGAAGCTTGAAGATACTACCATATAATTTTAAACTTTCAAAAGCATATCCAAGTTCTTCTGACTATTCTTCTCAGTATAAAATGTATGAAATTTAAAAGCTGCCTAAAAATACTGTATATGTATGTGTGTTTTTTCTGTGGCAAGATTTTTGCTACTCTGTGGTGACAATTTCCCAGATATAATTTACATTTTCGGGACTTATAGGTGTTTTTCGGAAGAAACGACTGGTCCCCATAAGGAGAAGTTCTCTTTTTGGAGTGAGGATTAGGTTTAGGACTAAGGTGTGAATTGAGATTAAGTAATGTTTAGGGTTAGGTATGTGTTGGTAAGGGTAAGAGTTAGGCCATAGAAATAAAGGCAATATCACTGGAAGTCAAGGGAAAGTCCATTTTGAACATCTGTAATCTTTATTTGATAAAGCTACTCCAACATAGTACTGCCAATCTGGTCGTTATGAGGCGGGATGCTGTCCACCTATTGGCCACCTATTTGACCATAACCTTATTTATCTTTTACCAATATATTGGCAGAAGATAAAAAAAAAAAAAGAAAAACCCACTGTGAATGATATTCAGTGTTGGAAAAAATACTCTGATTAAGAGTTGAGGTCTTGAGTGTATTTTGGACATATTACTTAGTAAGGTGGTCTCCCACCATCAATGTTGAACTGCTCACATTTACTATAACCATTTGTGTTGACTTCTGTGCTCATTATATTATAAAAACAAAACAGATAAAAATATATCCACATAGAAACCTATGAGTTAATAAAAACATGAAACACCTTTTAAACAATAAAAGAGTAGAATTGATTTGGGGATATGCTGAGGGTCATCTAGAGAAGGAAATCACTTATATGACTAAGAAAGCAAAAAAATTAAAAAAAAAACTCAAACAAAACACAATTAACGATACAAGGTTACAAGGAACAAATTTTGAGTAAGGATAATGCCAAACATGCCTGAATACCACTGAAGATAATAAATGGGAAATGACCAAAAAGTTTTTCCCCAGATTTCTGGCTTGCAAATAATTGGGATGACAACCACTCCAGTTTTGACAAGCATGATTTCAATGATAAAACTGATTTAATCTGTGCAGCCATAAACAATTTTTGAAGGAAATAATCCTTATAAAGTGGTTCTAAAAGGTTGTGAGACCCAGATGGGTCCTGTGTTTGAACACATTTTTGAGAGGTTTCTCTGCACTGCCTTTGTTCCACAAGCATGGCAGTCATTTATTATTTCCCTGTTACCCGACACAATACAGTGAAAAGTTCCAAATGGCCTCAGACCATTACAGGTGCTGGTCATAAAATTAGAATATCATGAAAAATTAGATTGATTTCAGTAATTCCATTTAAAAAGTGAAACTTGTATATTATATTCATACATTACATACAAACTCATATATTTCAGATGTTTATTTTGTTTAATTTTGATGATTACAAATGACAACAAATGAAAATCTCAAATTCATCATATCAGAAAATTAGAATATTGTGAAAAGGTTCAAAATTGATGGCCCCTGGTGCCACACTCTAATCAGCTAATTAACTCAAACCACCTGCAAAAGCCTTTAAATGGTCTTTCAGTCTAGTTCTATAGGCTACACAATCATGGGGAAGACTGCTGACTTGACAGTTGTCCAAAAGACGACCATCGACACCTTGCACAAGGAGGGCAAGACACAAAAGGTCATCGCTAAAGAGGCTGGCTGTTCACAGAGCTCAGTGTCCAAGCACATTAATAGAGAGGCGAAGGGAAGGAAAAGATGTGGTCGAAAAAAGTGTACAAGCAAGAGAGATAACCGCACCCTGGAGAGGATTGTGAAACAAAACCCCTTCAAAAATGTGGGGGAGATTCACAAAGAGTGGACTGCAGCTGGAGTGAGTGCTTCAAGAACCACCACACACAGACGTATGAAAGACATGGGTTTCTGCTGTCGCATTCCTTGTGTCAAGCCACTCTTGAACCACAGACAGCGTCAGAAGCGTCTTGCCTGGGCTAAAGAGAAACAGGACTGGACTGCTGGTGAGTGGTCCAAAGTCATGTTCTCTGATGAAAGTAAATTTTGCATTTCCTTTGGAAATCAAGGTCCCAGAGTCTGGAGGAAAAGAAGAGAGGCACTTCATCCACGTTGCTTGAAGTCCAGTGTAAAGTTTCCACAGTCAGTGATGGTTTGGGGTGCCATGTCATCTGCTGGTGTTGGTCCATTGTGTTTTCTGAGGTCCAGGGTCAACGCAGCCACATACCAGGAAGTTTTAGAGCACTTCATGCTTCCTGCAGCTGACCAACTTTTTGGAGATGCAGATTTCATTTTCCAACAGGACTTGGCACCTGCACACAGTGCCAAAGCTACCAGTACTAGGGGTGGGTATTGCCAAAGAAGTCACGATTCGATTCGAATCACGATTCACAGGCCACGATGCGATTCTATCACGATGCATCACGATACTTGAATTATTGCGATGCATTGCAATATTTTCTCCTCCATGTTTTGTTTTTGAATGACTCGGCACAGTATCCCACGGCCGGAAATGCTTGTGACACAAGGCAGCGTGCGTCAACACATTTGCAGCGACATCTACTGGACTGGAAGTGGTATTGCACTTGTTTTTGGCTGATGTTCGCCAGCCATTCATGCAATTTCATTTATTCATTTTTTTAAATTAATAATCGATTCTTGGCATCAAGAATCGATGCAGTAGATCACGAAAATTAGAATCACGATGCATCATCATCACGATTATTTTGCACACCCCTAACCAGTACCTGGTTGAAGGACCATGGTATCCCTGTTCTTAATTGGCCAGCAAACTCTCCTGACCTTAACCCCATAGAAAATCTATGGGGTATTGTGAAGAAGAAGATGCAATACACCAGACCCAACAATTCAGAAGAGCTAAAAGCCACTATTAGAGCAACCTGGGCTATCATAACACCTGAGCAGTGCCACAGACTGATCGACTCCATGCCACGCCGCATTGCTGCAGTAATACAGGCCAAAGGAGGCCCAACTAAATACTGAGTGCTGTACATGCTCATACTTTTCATGTTCATACTTTTCAGTTGGCCAACATTTCTATAAATCCTTTGTTTTTATTGGTCTTCAGTAATATTCTAATTTTCTGATATGATGAATTTGAGATTTTCATTTGTTGTCATTTGTAATCATCAAAATTAAACAAAATAAACATCTGAAATATATGAGTTTGTATGTAATGTATGAATATAATATACAAGTTTCACTTTTTAAATGGAATTACTGAAATCAATCTACTTTTTCATGATATTCTAATTTTATGACCAGCACCTGTATACCTTATTATCAATTCTAAACATAATAATAGAGGCTAGTGAGCAGGGAACTCTGTCCATAACGGTTAACCACATAGATCCCATGCAATTTGCCTACATGGCTAATTAGTAGGTAGAGGATGCAATTTTCCCCCTGGATAAAGTATAAAGCCTTTTAAACTCCTCAAACATATATACAGATATTATTTGTGGGACTATTAATCCTCCATAATTCTTTAAAGCACCTGAGTGAACAAAATGTCAGCAGCAATGTGCTGCTAAACTTTGTTAGAGTTTCTGAGAGACAAACCCCAACAGGTATGTGATGGTAGATTCCTATCTGTATGCAAAGTGTTGAACACAGGTGTGGTTGCTGGCCTGAAAAATGCTGACACTCTTTCTACACATTCACTTGATTTCCTACTGATTACAGCTTGATTGATCCTAATATCAGCAAAAAGAGTTTTCACTGCGAGAATAGTTAGGAGCAGCAGCCGTCAGACCTTCTTTTAAGCCTATTTTAATAAGAGGGTAGGATGTGGATTAGGTCAATGAATAGCTTGAAATAGGAAATTGAATTATCAGCTTACAAATTGCAATCTTAATACATTTAGATAAATGCAGAGTCTGACAGCTTTCATTCATTCTTTTTTAACAGTGAAAGGTTCACTCATGATTACTTTAAGCATCTTGAGGACTTTAAGTATCCGCCAGGTTTGTGATGAAATTTTTTTTTGGTCTTATGCAGCCCTTGTGAGGTTAGTTGGCGGCTCAAGCCAGTGTTCTGGAAGAGTGGAGATCTTCTACAAAGGCAAATGGGGTACAGTGTGTGATGATGACTGGGAAATGAGCAATGCAGATGTGGTGTGCAGACAGCTTGGTTGTGGTCATGCAGTCTCTGCCCCCACCAGTGCCCATTTTGGGAGAGGCTCCGGTCCAATTTGGATGGATAATGTGGAGTGTACAGGCCAAGAAGCTGCTCTTACACAGTGCACACACCGGGGTTTTGGAGAGAACAACTGTGGACATGGTGAGGATGCTGGTGTCATCTGTTTAGGTAAGGATCCAGGTTCATTTTGGATTTATGATTCTGTTTTCTTAGATTCAGCCTTCATGACTCTGCAAATCTTTTTCAGGTGATCTAGAAAAGCCCCAAATTACTTTAAGTCCTACAACAGAGGTTAACTGGGGTGAAAAGGTGGAAATCACCTGTACTGTGTCAACACAGCACCTGGGTGGGACATTTATACTGAAAAATACTCAAGGTTCATTTTCTAAGGAAAAATTCTCAGAGCACGAAGCAGCAACTTTTGTCTTCCCTCAAGCCGATTTCAGTCTCAATGGGTCATACTTTTGTGAATACCATAAGAAACTGCCAGATCAAACAATCTATTATCCTCAAGGAAATACTATTGATCTAACAGTTCGAGGTAATGAAGAGTTTTTTATTGTTCTGTTTGCATAGGATTTTACAAAACTTAGTGTTTCCATGTGTAAAAATGTCTTTTGTTTTTCAATCGTGCAGTGAAATTAGAGATCCCCAGTATCTCTCTATCATCTGGTCATGCGATGGTGATCTACAGTCCTGTTAAAATATCTGTGACCAAAGGGAGCGCCTTCTCCATAACCTGCTCCACTCATTCCAGATACCCTGGGGGCATCTTCTACCTGGCTAGGTCTAAAAAAAACATTACTCAGTCAAAACCGGCCTTTGGACACACCATCTTCTACATGGCATACTTTGAATTCCCAGAAATAGATTTTAAAGACCAAGGAGAGTATTCTTGTCTCTACTCCATCAACATATCATCTTCTTCCTTCTCTTCCCTTCCCTCCAAGTCACTCCAAGTCACTGTACTCGGTAACAAAGATACCTTAATTTCTTTCATATTTGTATTGAATTTTTTTTCTTTTAACACCTCTTTTTATCCTTACAGCAACCTCCTCCTCGTCAGTTGTTGCTGGTGCTGTGAGTGTTTTAGTGCTATTCCTTATCCTATTGGTCATTGGTTTCTTTGTTTGGAAGAAGAAATGGCGAGGTGCAGGTAAGATTACTATTTAATTGTTAATGATCCTCAAATAATATATTTTACGGTGGTCCAATGAGCCTGTTATAGCCATAGGTGGATTAATGACCGGGCCTGCCGGGCCCAGGCCCAGGGGGCCAGAGGCCCCAAGGGGCCAGGCCAACTTGGCCCAGCGGCCACGATCCATAGAGGGTAAGAGGCCCCAAGGGGCCATGATCCATAGAGGGTAAGAGGCCCCAAGGGGCCAGGTCAACTTGGCCCCGCGGCCACGACCCACAGAGGGCCTGAGGTCCTAAGGGGTCAGGCCAACTTGGCCCCGCGGCCATGATCCATAGAGGGTAAGAGGCCCCAAGGGGTCAGGCCAACATGGCCCCGCGGCCATGATCCATAGACGGTCAGAGGCCCCAAGGGGCCAGGCCAACTTGGCCCCGCGGCCACGATCCATAGACGGTCAGAGGCCCCAAGGGGCCAGGCCAACTTGGCCCCGCGGCCACGATCCATAGAGGGTCAGAGGCCCCAGGGGGCCAGGTCAACTTGGCCCCGCGGCCACGATCCATAGAGGGTCAGAGGCCCCAGGGGGCCAGGTCAACTTGGCCCCGCGGCCATGATCCATAGACGGTCAGAGGCCCCAAGGGGCCAGGCCAACTTGGCCCCGCGGCCACGACCCACAGAAGGCCAGAGGCCCCAAAGGGCCAGGCCAACTTGGCCCCGCGGCCGCAAGCCACAGAAGGCCAGAGGCCCCAAGGGGCCAGGTCAACTTGGCCCCGCGGCCACGATCCATAGAGGGTAAGAGGCCCCAAGGGGCAAGGTCAACTTGGCCCCACGGCCGTGACCCACAGAGGGCCTGAGGTCCTAAGGGGTCAGGCCAACTTGGCCCCGCGGCCATAATCCATAGAGGGCCAGAGGCCCGAGGGGTCAGGCCAACTTGGCCCCGATCCATAGAGGGTCAGAGGCCCCAAGGGGCCAGGCCAACTTGGCCCCGCGGCCACGACCCACAGAGGCCCCAAGGGGCCAGGCAAAATTGGCCCCGCGGCCATGATCCACAGAGGGCCAGAGGCTCTCAATCATTATTATCAAAGCTAATTCTCAAATTGGATGGATCACACAACCTCACTCACATATTCTTTATCAATTATTAAAGGTTGTTTCTGAATTTTGATCACAGAACTTAATGCAAATATTCTTGATTGATTGACAAAGCTCATTCTCAAATTTTGATTACACAACCTTACTCTGACAAATTATCATTATCAAAAAGCTCTCTCTCGAATTTGGATCACAGAATCTCACTCAAGTATTCTTAGCTGTGCCCCTCCCCCATCGAGTCTTTCATAAACCGGTCTGTTCTTTTAGAATCTCCTCATTTGGTATTTTGAACTCGTGAGAGACTGCTCAAAATTTGGTTTCCTTTCCCTCAGTTCAGACTCAGAGATAATTTGAAATCATTCAACAAGAAGTTTAACGCGCGCATACACACACACACACACACACACACACTTGAGGTTGAGCATTACTTGGAAATTCTTATATTTTCCATTTATATTTTCCGCTAGATTTCGTGTCTTTTGGCCATACCTGGCTAGCGACTAAAAACATCATTTAGCGACTTTTTGGTTGTGAAGATAAGTGGTAAAAGCGGATCTGCCTGTTGGTCTTCCCACATTTTGCCATTTGGTACTTTGCACTCTTGTTGTTCACTCCAAGGCATTTGTCCCTGCCTTCAGCTAGTCACTTGGCTCTTTTGGAATATATTTCACTGTAATTGGCTCTCTCTCTCTTTCTCCTCAGTACAAATCAGTCTGTTCCCTTGCCATTTAGACATTTTCTTGATTCGATCATCACTGACCACTCTGCTCTCCTGCTGTCTATCAGACGAATAAGTTGATTCTCTGCTCTCAATTGTCTATGCTAGTAAGCTGTTATTCTCTGCTTTGGAGTGTTGATGCTGGGTTGCTAGTTTTCTAAATCACCTCACACACTTGAAGGAAGCAGCACCGATCATAAACACACAAACAAACTCACACACACACACACACACACACACACACACATAGTTGGTTTATCTGTTGTGATAGGCAAAGAGCCAATGTGCAAAGAAAGAAGGGAAATATGGATCATAAACGTTTAAGTGGAGGAGCTAGAAAAAAAATTCAGCAAGAAAAGAAAAAAAAGGAATCAGTTTTACTTGAGAGTGTTCCAAATATCTCCAGCTTCTTCAGTACAAAGACATCTGCTGAAAGCAATTCTATAAATGCTACTGCAAATTCAGCTAAGGTTAGCAATGCACCTGAGCTAGCATGTAGCTCCCAAGATCCTGAGACCACTACAAGTGTAGACACTGAACCAAATGCTTCTGATGCTTATGATTCAACCAATTCAGCAGTAGCCAGTTGCTCGGATGAATGTGAGGTCACTGCACCTCTGGACAGCATAGAAAATGAGCTGAATCTTTCTTCAACACCATCTACAGTGACAACTCTACCTAGTGATCCCGCTAAATGGGCTGAGACCCTCACTGAGTCAATGAAGGAAGTTCTTATTCAAAGAGGTGCAAAATCATTTCACAACCGTCACAGCCATTATCCAGCTTCTGTGAGGAACAGTGGGCTAGGAGGCAAAACCCGATGCCTAAACAATGAACATTTTACTTCACACTTGCCCAATGGACGAGTACAAAGAGAGTGGCTGATGTACTCTCCCTCTACTGGTAATGTTTACTGCTTTGCATGCAAACTGTTTTCCCCAAAAACGCATTCTTTTGTGACAGGCTATTGTGATTGGAAACACTCAGAAAGATTTGGTGAACATGAGCAAAGTGCTGAGCACATAACCTGCATGCAAGCAGTCTTGAACCGCGCCAAAGGTGCCACAGTTGATGCAGACCTGTTCAAACAGTTTCAGGCAGAGAGCAGCTATTGGAGGCAGGTGTTACAAAGAGTTGTTGCAGTCATTAAATTCCTTGCAGAAAGGGGCCTTGCATTTAGGGGTAAAAATGAATCGTTAGGGTCTCCTCTCAATGGGAACTACCTTGGTATTCTGGAGGTCCTGGCTGAATTTGATCCCTTTCTAAAGGATCACATCAGAAAGTTTGGGCAGATGGGTCGAGGTAATACCTCATATCTGTCCTCCACCATTTGTGAGGAATTCATTGAATTGATGGGTGCAAAAACCAAACAGGCTATAGCAGATGAACTGCAAGCAAGCAAATACTACTCTATCATTGTGGATTCAACCCCAGATTTATCTCATGTGGACCAATTGACATTCATATTCCGTTTTGTTAGCAAAGAGGGCAGTGTTGTTGAACGCTTTGTGGGTTTTGAGCCTATTACTAGCCATACAGGTGAAAGTTTGGCTAACTGTGTCATGTCTGTGTTGGAAAATCTAGGGTTAGAGCTGTCAAATTGCAGGGGGCAGGCTTATGATAATGCCAGCAACATGTCAGGGAGGTATAATGGGTTGCAGGCTCACTTAAAGAAAAACAACCCATTAATACACTATATTCCATGTGCAGCTCACTCTTTGAATTTGGTGGGAGTCAACAGCATTGACAGATGTGGAAATGAAGTCTCTAAGTATTTTGACTTGAATCAGTCTATATACAACTTCACAACTGCATCCACACACCGATGGGACAGGGTATTTGGCAATTCCAACATAGATCTCACACTTAAAGCTTTATCCAACACGCGTTGGAGTTGCCGTGCAGAATCTACCAAAGCACTGTGGCAGAACTACAGTAAAATAAAAGCAGCACTACAGGTTATTTCCACTGATGACACAGAGAAACGAGACACACGGACTGAAGCTGACAGTCTAGTGCGGAAGCTGGATTCACTTGAGATGGCCTTTAATGGCAGGCTTTTGGGACACTGTTCTGTCCAGATTTCAGGCCACAAGTCTGCAACTTCAAAAAGCAGACATGGACCTTGGTACAGCAGTTAGATTGCTGGAATCTCTGCGCACCTTTGTTCTCTCCCAAAGAGATCTATTTGATCATTTTGAGCAGAAAGCCTTAAACATGTTGGGTGGCACCCCATCTTACAGGGCTGAACGGACGAGGAAACGTAAAAAGTTTGCTGATGAATCAGCATCCCCAGATGTTGTGCTTGAGGGAAGGCAACTGTTTCAAATAGAGACATTTATTGCCTCTATTGATCAACTGAGTTCAAGCCTTAATCACCGTCTGGAGGCCTACAAACATCTGAACAATTTGTTCAGTGTCCTTTTCTCTTTGGATACAGAGTCCAATGCTTCAGTCCTTCACAAGGCCAAGATTCTCACTGAATCATACCCATCTGACCTCAATGAAAGTCTTGGACAGGAGCTTATACAGTTCAAATCTTTTATACAGCTCAACAACACTGATGAGGAGAGGACCCCTTCAGGACTGCTCAAAACAATAATACATTTTGGACTACAGCCTACGTTTCCTAATACATACATTGCGCTACAGATTTTTCTCACTCTACCGGTCAGTAACTGTGAGGGAGAACGCTCATTCTCTCTTTTGTCAAGAGTAAAAAATGAGCTGCGCACAAGAATGACTCAGAAAAGATTAAATGCGTTATCTCTAATGGCAATTGAGAGTGAGCTGACAAGAGAGTTGGACTTCAATGATGTGGTGGATGAAAGCACGAAAGAAACCCCTTGCTTAAAGGTGCACTGTGTAAGATTTTTAGGTTATTTCCAGAATTCACCCATTCACTAATGTTAGGCTACCTGTTTTCATGAATACTTACCACCACCATAAAATTCTAAGTATCCATTATGACTTGGAGAATTGCACTTTTGCCATTTCTGGGAAGTGTCACCTGGATTGTGAAGATAGGATTGACTTTAGGCAGAAGCTTGGTGCTTTCTCTGGCAAACTGAACCTCAAGCTTCATTCTCTGCAGCTTTGCATTCTTGTGCAGACTTTCATCCACAAGGAACTTTTCAACTTCCCCACTATCGTGAAGGGGCCATCAAAAGATTTCAGTGTGTCCAGCATGTCTAGTCTCTTACTCTCCTTTCTTTGAGCCATCTCTTGTTTCTCATCTGCCCTACTCTCGAATTTTGCCTTCATGAATTTACTCCAGTTGAGTTCAACCTCCCTTTTTGCTTGTGCTGCTGCCTTGAAACCTCTGAAGCTCCTGGCACTTCTGTAAAATTATTGACCTATTGGCTGCGTTCAGTGTGCCCAACTTCTTCAGTTTGTAGTCCACCTTGCCACATTGTCTCTCCATCCCAATGTTGTGCACAGGGGTGCCATCAATGTTACTAGCCTGTTCACTGACAGGGTCCATTAGGAAGGTCTCCTCATCCATCCTCTGCCTGGCCAGGACAGTCTTCAGATGGGGCAGCATGAGATCTGTCATCTGCTTCACTTCATCCAAGTATTCGGCAGCCACGTCTGACACTGAGTTCAGGACATGTCCAGTGCCTGTCCAGCCACTATAGCATTCTTGGAAATGGGCTATCTTGACCTGCATGCAGCCCTTGTACCATGAACTGGCCTACACCTTTCTTTGTGGTGCTCTCCGATGCATGTTATCATTTTACCTTTCTCCTTCTCCTCAAGCTTAACCACAAATAGATACAGACTTTGAGCCTCAATTTGCTGCACAGCTGCCGTTATGCCAAAGTGTTTTCCTAAGATATAATTTTATTTTTAATGATAGAAGGGAGGAAAAGGGGGCAAAAATCATGCCCGATTTAGTTTTTTGGGTGGGGTGGGGGGTTTATTTCATGATAGCTACCAACTTCCAATACATAATATCTCTCAAATGACCCAATGCACCATCACTGAAGTGGGCATAATCATTTTCCAAAATGTTTATTTTTAGGCCATTTATCCCCTCCCCCTGTGTCTGTGTGAAACCTGTGCTTGTCAGTGTCTGTGTGGTATACCTAATAGCGTGTGTGCAGTATGTGCACTCTTCTGTACAGGACAGTGTGCATGTCTGTTCACAGTATACAGTATTTCTTGCATAGTGCGTGCGTGTGTGTGCGCCCGCAAGCGCGGGGGGTTGAGGGGCCAAGTCCATGTCAGGCCCAGGGGGCCAAAATTTCTTAATCCGCCCCTGGTTATAGCCGTTAAACACTCAGAGGGTGTAATAAATATTTTAGATATTAACACACTGACTATATAAGCAATGAATAAATGCATATTTTCACATATTTGTTGGCACCTATGCTAAAAGAATGTCAAAACCTTAAAATGTACTTGTTATTTCATTTGATTTGATTCCACTCATCCAAAAAAAAACCCTGTTCTACCCTACTTGAAAAAAGTTTGATAAAAATGACCTGTTCTTGAAATAAATCTGTATCTTTTTGTCAGAAAAGCCAAATACTGCAGCTGGGTTTTACATAAAACAATGTAGGAGCTTTGATGCTGTGGCGCTGTTTCTTCTGAATAAAATAATTAGATTGCTTGGCATAATGAATTCTTTAAATATACAGTTATTTTCAATAAAACTCCCTTTACTTACAACATAAAACTGAAAACGAACAATTATTGGGACATTCTGCAGGATAATGGTTGAAAACATCCGACTAAATCAACACACATTAATCTTTTCATTTATCATTACACCATTTGTACCCAAATTCTGAGCTGAAGAGAAAGGGCAAGAGATTTTGCAATGAGAAATCAGCTCTCTGTATCCTCTTGGTAAAATATTCCTGATGATCTTAAATAAAAAGATTATCTCTTAAAATATATAATTTACCCACTATATAAAGGAAATTGAATTTAAGGGTAGATTTATCTCGATTTTAATGTCATATTACGCAGGTTTTTATCATTTTTTATTATGATTATTTGGTGAAAGCAAAAATTGAATCTAGATGACTGAGATGTTATGCTTGTGTTTTAGGTGTCATGGTTCAGTTTAGCAACAGGTTAGAGCCCAAAAAAAACGATCTGGACGACAGAAGCAACGGGGCACTCGATGAAAGGTAAGAATAACTTGCAACTATCACACATGCGCTGAAAGTTTTGTTCCTTTCTCCTTTCTAAAATTATTTAATCAGATTGGAGGGAGAAGGTCTGTAATCCCTCCAGAATAATTACTTCTTTTGTTATGACAAGACATAAACAACAATGACCTCAGAGTTGAGTTTGAGAATCTGTGTCAAATTATTTTTCATTTTACTTTGGATTTTACACCAACACATTCTCTGCTGTGTTCCTTCTCCTTTTCCTTCTTTACTTTTGTGGCAGCCTTGCCGCAACAATAGCTGGAATGCCAACATTTTGCAATTCTCATTATGGTCCCATTTAATAATTTAGGCCATTTTATCTTTACACTCAAAGCTTTCTGTGGCAATAACTCATTCGGCTCCGTGTGGATGTAGCAAGTCTTTTTTGATTTGATTGGGCTGAATTTAAAGTTTGTCTGACTTGATTCAAAGTCTTATGACATGAGTCAGCACTTCTCCTTTCTGTAGTCAAAAATCACTGTGGCTCATTTGAGATGCAACACATTGGAAACCATGACATGGTAACATAAATCGAATCTGAGATCTGTTGTCTTTTTTTTTTTTAGGGAACGTACCAACCCCTTGTATGTAAAAGGACGACCTACTGCCAGCATGAAAGGAACAAGCACCAACCTTGATACTGAGAGCATTGGAGAGAAAGCCCCAGAAGACTTGGCAGGAAAAGTTTGTTATGAACTTGACCCACTGGTTGATTGAGGGTGGAGACATTCCTCCAGCAGTAACTTTCAACAAAAGCTTACATTTCTTTTTTTCAAAGTAACACAACATCAAACCTAAAGTGAGTGTTTCACTAATATACCTTAGAAAACAACAACAATGATTTTTTTTAATGTACTGAGACTTCATGGTGTAAGCTTCTGTATGAGAGACAGAAAATTGGACTTATGATGGTGTATAGGAAAATACATAGGAGCTCTACAGGCAACAGGAACTTTGTTGTGTTTTTAAGACTCTTTTCAGAAAAGTAATTTTTCATTTTTGTTTTACAATGTAATAATGGATATCTTATAATTTGCTCTAAGATAAATTGCAATGATTGCACATAGATAAAATAAACCTTTAATCATATTTAATGCCATATTTAGTATGAATCAACTATTTTCCTACATATTGCTATAGCAATTTTTATAGATAGGGTATATTATAAAAACAGTAGGGTCAAAAATCAGTTGCTGGTAGACAGAAGACAATTTGTTTTTTTTGTGTGTTTCTCAGTAATTATATTTTGTGAAATATAATTGATTAATAAAATTGTAAGTCATACAAATACCATTTGTTGTTAATTTCCTAAGTAATCAATGAACATTAGATGAGAAGATGAGAGATGGTGTTAAATACATATAATACTGGATGATATTTCTAATGAAGTTTTACCTAAAATCAAATAGCATTTGCAATCATTTTTAAAGGACATACCAGATACATACGGCTCTGAATCTCTAATAAATACACTTCTTGCTTCAGTTAACAATACTTTAAGTCGTTTGCACGACTGTTAGATTAATGGTATTTTACGGCTTCTCTGTTGATATTACTATTTGATAAATATTAAAGTAAGGCTCAAATAAAAGTGAAAGTATTGCATAATAGGATAATAATGTGTCACTTAGGCGGTGCAACCTCATTATCCCGCAGCCATGCATTAATAATTCATTGGCAAGAGACATTCTGGTCGTATAAGTGCATGGAAAAGGCATAACTCGTGGCCAGTTGGTACTAATGCACAAACTTAAGGCTTATGTGCATGTTGTCCAAAATGAACTCCTCTAAGCCTATTTTTGGATATTTTTTTAAATAGTCCTACATGTGACTGGTAAAACTTCTGATTGTTCCAATTCCAAAGTTAATGCTCATAAATGAGCCTCATAATTAAAAAGAATAAACATCTCCGTTCCCGCCGATGTGTAAATGCCAAAAAAGGGTTTTCATACACTTTTGGCGATATACATCAACAGGCCTGGGAAAACCTCCTCATAAAAGAATAAGGACTTTTTTTTTAGCAATATTGGAAAAATATAAAGGCAGGGATATTCTTTCTATTTGCAGATAATCTTTATCTGCTCGAATAAATGTTTAATACAGTTAAATTAAGGACAATTAACTTTTTTAGATCAGTTTTTGAGTGTATTTGTTTTAAGTTAATGTTTTGTTTTTTGAAACTTTAGTGGGGTTTTTTAATATATTGCTGTCATTATTATTATTATTCAATGTTTTTTATTAATAGCTATGTTTAGTGATTTGTTCATGTGGTTTACACTTCAGGGCCTCCATAAAAAAGTTTTAAGGCATATTCTAATGCTCTCTGAAAGTTAGACATTGCCTCATATACCGGTAGTTAAGATTTCTGAACAGATTGCACTACTAACAGGTAGAACTACATAAAACATTCCTAGATAAATCAACAGTTTATGGGAAGGGAAATCAGTCATATATTTCTGCAGGAATTTCTGGACAGCAAATTCACCAAATGCCCTTAAAATCAATCTGGATCTATTTTTGGTTATTCTGAGTTTTTCAGAAAAGTTGGCATAGTTGAAAGTGTCAGAACATCGTCTATTGGACTCCTCTGTGCAAAGAAGCTCATCTTCTCGCTCTGGAAAAAGACTTTAAAAGCCCTGCATCTCGGAGAGGACTCTGAATCAGTGGTGAACTGGAAGAGGTTGAAATAACATGGAGCCACACAGTGAACAGTAATCCTGCTTCACTCAGGTATCAATGCTTAGAGGGGTTGGTTAGTGGGAGGGATAATATTGATTTAATAGTTATTCATTAAGTGATGTTTTTTTATTTAATCTGTTCATTTGTCTTATGTTTATTCCTGAAATGAGGAGAGTTGCTCTTTAATCACAAATGTTGTATTATTGTACTTTGGCCTTTCAATAAAAAACATTTTAAGACAGAAGAAAGTGTGAAAACAGGTAAAACAGGTAATTCTCAAACCTGATGCACTAGAAGCAGAACAGTCTCACTGAAAACATTCAGCTTCATGTTGTGCTTTTTTAAGAAAATCTAAGATTCATCCTCAATGATCCAATAGTTTCAGTTCTTCCACAGGGGATCTAATTAATGAAAACAAAACAGTCACAACTTCTAAATCACCTCCTCTTATTCTTTAACATTTAAGTGACAACAGAAAGGATCCAAAGTAAAACACCCAAATGATACAAAGAAGCAAAAACACAAATTCAATCAGAGGTTTTCAGAGCCGTTTATCAACTTTTCCCTCATTTCACCACAGTATATATTTTTAGATTACCGTAATTGAAAAAGAATAATGATTTAGTATTAAATATTGACAGGTTCATTATAGTAGGAGATTTTAACATTCATGTTAAAATTGAAGCTGAAAGCTTAAATGCAGCCTATTAACGTCATCATATGGTGCGTTCACACAAAATGGTATTCAAATGCCCAAAGCAAACAATTTTTATAGCCCCAATTACACTATCCTTTTGAAACTGTGCCAAAATTGGTCCGAGTATGGTAACCATGAAAAATGTTGAGTGTAAATGGCACGCACAACTGAACCGGATCGTGCCAGACTCAACCGAACCGTATTAAACTGGTTCTAGTTCAACAGTAGTTCAGTTGTGGCTCTGTTCTAAGATAACAAAGAGCACATGAGCAGACTGTATCTCCTATTTACAGTCAGCTTCCAGTAGATGGCGGTAGGTGGAGGGTCCTCAGCAGAATGATGGCTGGAAACTGAGTCCTCAGCAGATTGCTAGGTGGAGGCTGGCTCCTCAGCAGATTGATAAGTCGAGGCTGGTTTGCTGGTTTTGATAATATCTAACTATCCTTTTTTAAAGGTAAATACTCATTCCACTAGCAGATTATCTTGTTAGCTCATATTAGTATGGCAATATCTTCACAAATTGCATCAGTGAATTGAAAGCCTGGTTCACCAACAACTTCCTTCAATTAAACAGTAGTAAAACTGAGGTGCTCCTCATTGGCACCAAATCAACTCTTTCCAAAACTGACAGCTTCCAATTTACTATTGATAGTTCCTCCATCTCCCCATCCCCCCAAGTTAAGAGTCTGGGTGTCATCCTCGATAGCACACTATCTTTCCAATCCCATATAAATAACATTACCCGGTCTACCTATTTCCACTTAAGAAACATCAACCGCCTCTGTCCCTCCCTCACCCCACACACTACTGCCATACTTGTGCACCTCCCGATTAGATTACTGCAACTACCTCCTCTTTGTACTTCCTCAGAAATCACTCCACAAACTACAACTGGTCCAGAACTCAGCTGCTCGCATCATAACAACAACTCCCCCTATCGAACGGTCCTCCGACAGCTGCACTGGCTCCCCGTACAGTTCCGCATTCACTATAAAATTATCATGGTGACATTCAAAGCACTTCACCACCTTGCCCCCCCCCCCCCCCCATATCTGTCAGGCCTCCTGCATGTTCCCACCCCCTCCCATGCCCTTAGATCCTCATCTGCTTTACACCTGTCTGTCCCTTCCGCCCGTCTCACCACCATGGGGAGCAGAGCATTCAGCCGCTCTGCCCCCCAACTCTGGAACTCTCTACCACCCCAACTTAGAAACACGGACTCAATTCTCCATTTTAAAATCCAACTCAAAACCCATCTGTTTAAGATTGCGTATTCTCTTTAAATATCAATTTCATTGTCACAGCCTCTGTATTTTTTAAATGTTTTTATTTTGATTCTGACACTGTTTTATACTTTGACACCTTGAGTGTCCAGAAAGGTGCCTTTTTAAATAAAATGTATTATTATTTTTATTAGTAGCAAATGCATTCATATAAGAAATCTTTACTCATTTTATACCAGTTTTTGCAATTGTCAGACAGGTTGCTTTGATTTTTTTATTCTTTAATTTATTTAGTTTGGTTCTGCATTACTGATAATTAGGTCTATGTGTGGCTAATAAAACTGACTTTTTTTGTGGAGAGGGGACTTAGTGTAGGTTCCCATGGCAATGTGCTAAACCATATATATACTGAAGTCTTCTGGCTCTTCTATTTGCAATGCCAATGTGCTAATGAGCCAGACAGAATATTTTGGGGATTTGTGATTTGCCTTCGACATTGTGCAATATGGTGGATCATAAACTTAAAAGTGGTTCACTGTGCTCCCTGTTGCACAACATAATTACGAAAGAATGTGAAATTTGTCTGCTTGACTCTTTCTGCATTGTACGCTTAATTGCTGTTCACTAGTGAGAGTCAACAAGGCATACATTTAAGTTTGAATCCAGAATACTGTCATGTTTTAGGTCTACTTATTTCTTTTTTTTTATGTAGTCGGTGCAAATTTTCCATATTTCCCTATATGAAAATATAGATTCCAAGTTTTCATGTACTATTAGTCTATATAAAGGTGCGGTTATAGGTGTGTATTCATTCTTGAGCGGATTGACTAATGAAAGGGACAGGCCTTGACTGGAATAGTTAAACAAGTGGGTGTGTCCATGCAGGATGGTAAACTTTGTCCAAACCTGTTCACATTGTCTGCTTCTTCAAGCTTACATACCTCCAGACAGGATACTGCAGCGTTCTCAGTGTTTTTCTTTACAAAAACTTGTTTCTATCTATATTGGAAAATAACTTTTAAAATGGCAGAAAAGACTGTGAGTGTTTACATGGCCAGTGTGAGCGGTTCCCTGGAGGTACAGTATGACTTTATTTCCTCTTGTATTTTGCAGCTACATGCAGAAAATACAGCGAAGCAAAGCATTTTGGTCAATGTATTATGTAAGTGTGGACCGCGGCCGGAGAGTCAGACGTATTTCTAGAAAAAAATAATCACGTTGATTAATAAAAAACGTTTTTCTTGCAGATGAAGAAAAGTCAAGACAGAATATTTTCTGTTCTCTCTTCAAAGAAGATCCCCTTCAAAGCTGTGGATATTACCCAAGACTCTGAATACAAAGATTTAATGAGGAAAATCGCTGGCAATCCTACAGCACTTCCCCCACAAATATGCAATGGGGAGCAATACTGTGGAGTAAGTTTAATTCCTCTTGAAACAGTGATACGAATGAGAAAAAAAATTAGATTCAACTCCTAGGATTAATAAACAGCTATATTTAACATGAAGAGTTTATTACACATGCTCGTACCTAAGACCGCCTTGCAGTAGAGTAGGGCGATGACACATTGATTAAATAATTATGTTTTATACAAACCACATTTTTGTGGATCCACAGACACTGCTGAGATTCTTAGCAATAATCTCCAAAAAAGGAAACAATTCCCTTTTTAAAGATCTAAAATTGTGTTTGCCATATTTTTTTTACTCCTCCCTTGTTCAACACACCTACATCAAATATCTGAATTATTGCCTGTAGAATGTAAGTTAGTTCTTAAGACTCCTCCTAATGACCTAATGTACATAAGACATATATAACTTGTGGGAAACAGGCCAATAAGGTGTTTGAGAACCCTAATATTGCATGATACTGTAGCTCTGACTGCTAACTGTTGCTTTCCAACTAAACTTACTGGATCTACCGGTATTTAACTACAACTAGTCCCAAGTATTTAGCTCCATCCACTTCATATAAATTTACATTTCAGGAGCAAGATGATTCCATCTACCCTGTTTTATTAAGGGGATTTTTGGATTTTGGATTTTATGATTATGATCAATGTTAGTCTTATCAGACTTGTTTTGTTATGCATTTAAGAAAACTCCAAGAAAGGGCATGCAATCTGATGTTTTAATAAGTTTAATAAACAACAAAAATGTCCATAGAATAACTAAATCCACAGAAGTCATGAATAGTGCTTACTTCAATGACATGCCCTTGGTGGGCTTCTCCTTCGGTCGCCCGCATTACCACAGTGCAGTTTGTGAAAACATGATTGTTAAAGATTGTAATGTAGCACTTGTGCATGACTTATAGACCTATACACAGTGAAAAGTAGTGTCAGTAATAGGAAAAATTGAAAATGCATTAATGAACTAAATCTAAGAGAGAATTGATAATAGAATGTGAAGCATGTAGGACTAATTGAAATTGTACAACTAACATACAGAGCATACATAGATAAGGAGGAAGCTAAAAAAAATGACTGAGCTCTGTTAGAATTGTTTCCGAGTTGCAAAACACAGAAACAGGTTTGACAAGGCAAACAGAAAAGACATCAAACCCCAGCGGGCAACAAAAATAAAACAGGACCTCCCAGTCAGAACAGATCTCAACTAATATGTGTAAACTCAAATGTGCAAAACCTATTTAGTTATTTGTTTGTTTATTTATTATCAATCAAAATAGGTAGATAAGACTCTTCAGCAGTACAAACTCCTGGGGCTTCAATTTTTTTTTTTTTTTACCACACTATCATAAGGCTCAAACCCAATTGTTTTAATATCATGTTGGGGGACTGTTGGCCTAGTAGGTTAGAGCAATTGAAAGGTTCCAAGGTTGAGAAGGTTGCAAGTACCCGGTTCGATCCACACAGCCTCTAGTCTGTGTTCCTGAGCAAGATCCTTAACCCCACACTGCTCCCTGAGCGCCCAAAATGGGAGCCCACTGTTCCCCAAGGGGATAGGTTAAATGCAGAGAGTGAATTTCTAAAATGTAAGATCAATAAAGTTCAATTTTTTTTATGTTAACCACACTTTTTTCTTGTTTTTCAGGACTTTGATGCATTCGAGAACGCAATTGAGTTGAATCAACTTGAGCAGTTCCTCAAGCTTTAAAAGAAATACCAAGGAGCAATGTGGGAGATCTGAAAATACCATTGTTGAGCTAATTGCACAGTTATAAAGGAATATAATGTTGAATGCATATGTGCTTGTGATGTGTTATTAATATTACTTAAATACTACCAAGTAATGTTTCCGTCAAATGTGAGGAATAAGTGGGTTTTTTGGTGTAACAGTACATTTTTAAAGTTTGTAGAACTGAAATAAAATGTCTTTAAACTTTTCAATGTATATCTTATGCTCACTTATTTCTGTAGTTGTATTTTTTTTATAGTTTTCTTACTACAGCCCACACTGTTTTATTTAACATTAAAAAGCCAATTTTAAAGACTATCTATCTATCTATCTATCTATCTATCTATCTATCTATCTATCTATCTATCTATCTATCTATCTATCTATCTATCTATCTATCTATCTATCTATCTATCTATCTATCTATCTATCTATCTATCTATCTATCTATCTATCTATCTATCTATCTATCTATCACGCTCCACTCCTCTCCCTACATCATGCGGCAATGATGTGTGTTAATGTCTTCAGTAATCATCATGTTCAAGATCAAAGTGGCATACGGGCTGTTTTTTTGTGTTTTATTTCCTTTTTTGTTTCTACCCTTCAAATAGCCTTCTCTGTGAACATTCAACACTATAACTATACCAAAATGTATTTCAAACAGCATAAATTCTAGGTTGAAGCATATAGATTGATTTAGGAAACATTCTATAGGCCTGTATTGGATGAATCCATGAGATAGGAAAATTCATGAATCTTGTAATTTAACAAATGCATATATATGGACACATAACTAGATGTCAAAACGCGACTTTTAAGACGGGTTTAAGGATTGAGAGAAAATATATGAACTGTTAAATTATGTTCAAATGCTAAAAGGAGGAAAGATCAATGTTGAAGAGCCCAGCCACAGGAAGCGGATCACAAAACGAAGTCGAAATTCCCATCTCCGCCTTCTCGGTATTAAAGCAATGTCGCAGCCTTATGACGTCCTCTTTACCCGCTACCCCAGAGGAGGAAAGGGTGCGTTTCTACAGTTGCCGACACAATCCACGCAAATAATCAAGCATCCTAAGTTATTCTTTTGCCTCGCATACTTTTTTATGATGATTAATAACTCTAAGATCATGTGTCTTTTATATTGCAGAACTTTAAGTTCGCCATCCATCGAAAATCTACAATGGCCGAGGAAGGGTAAGCATGACGCTTGTTGCAGCTATAGCTACATTAGCAGTGCGGTGGGAGATAAAAAAAAATACCATGCTGGACTAAAAAAAGAAATTAATGAACTTAAAAGTGATCCGTAGAGCTATGGTAAAAGCTGCGTTTAAGGTGGTACGTTTAAAAACACGATAAAGGACTAGGGAAGCTGAGATTAGGTATACGTTTAAAATTAAATTCAAGTCTGATTAGATCTTTACCTACATATAGGAAGGAATTTTTCGTACAAGCTTGGGGAAGGGTTTTTTTAACCTGCTAAACTTGCTTCTCATTTAAAAAAAAAAAAATAATAATTATCTCCGTATAAACACGCATCATAAATTGGAGGAACTTAGAAAGGTGGTCGTTCGGTTATTTTTAGTAAATGGTTTACTTTGCTAGCGCATAGCAGTAGGGGTCCTTGGCTGTTATTCTGGTTAATGGATTGTTGGGATGCAGTGTTTCCAATTTTTTTTTAGGTTAAGGGGTTTTTAATTTGTAAATTGAAAGGTATACATGTCTCTTACATGAGGCGACAGCAATTATTTGTTTACTAAATCCTTTTCGCTCTATAGTTGTGACAAAATACTGATCTTATGTTGTGTCAAGTTTCTATTTGTGAGCTGAAAGAAAAACACTGGAAATGTTTGTGCCATTCCACCATAACTGGTCACACATCTTTAGAGGAGGCCATATTAAGTCAATGAGATGTAACTCCTGTTTAATCATATCCTTCCCTGTAAAAAGTCTTGTAAATGTATCAAAGTTATACCACTCAGTATCTTTCTACCCCTGTATGCTTCATTTGGAACACCAAACTGATGTTCAGTGTAACTTAGTGACTAGAAGTTGCTTCATGAATCCTATGAGGAGAAATGGAATATTTCTAAAAGGGAAATTAAAATGAAAAGTATTCAATAGGATGCCATAACATAAACAAACAACATAAACTCCCCACTGCTTTCTTGTTTTGAGCTCTGCATAAATGATGATTCACTTCTTTGTCGGATACCCCTTCACTCTACAATGAGTGAGATCCTCCTTCTGATGAGCCAGAAGCTCAGCAATGCACTGCTCTTTCAACCTTTGAGGATAAAATGTTAATCTTTGAAATACCTTCTTGTTTGATAGCACTGCTGCCGGAGGTGTGATGGATGTCAACACCGCTCTCCCTGAAGTGCTTAAGACCGCACTCATCCACGATGGCCTTGCACGTGGTATCCGTGAGGCTGCAAAGGCCCTGGACAAGTATGTTTGTTACACCTCAACATTGCATTCATGAATCACTGTATAGAAATTACTTATTACCAATGTCCTAATGATGGGTAAGGCAGGGAAGTTGAAGGTGGACAGAAAATAATAGATTCCGCTTTTGGTTCTTTTAGTAAAAATCCTCAGGAAAAATGCTCTGATTGCCAAGAATGAAAATGTATCCAATATTTTTATTTGATATCCCAGTCAGAATAATTAATGAATGAAATGCAAGTGATTGAATCATTCTGAAGTAGGATTATTTAATTGATCAACTATTAATTGATGTGGGCATTTTCTTTCAAGCCTGGTATCAAAGGGATCTTTTCATAACATGATGGGCAGAAAATAACTTTTATAATAATCTGACTTAAAAATATATATATTTACGATTTATCGCACCACCTGTCTAAAATGACTAAACAAATGTAATTAAACTTATAAGATGTATTGTAACATTTATAGAGCTGGATAATATAGCCGAAGCATGATACTTCTCTTAATTTAGGTCAATATGATATAATTTCAATATTGATTTGTAAAAAATAAAGCCTCAAGTGCTGCTAAAACTGCCGTTTAAAAACACTCTGGTAAAAGTTAAAGTATCAACTTGACCTCTTTAAGTAAAAGTGAAAAAGTATGTGCTCCAAAAACTATTTAAAGTATAAAGTAACCTTAAAATAAATAAAAAAAATCGGCCAGATGCCACTATGAATTAAAAGCTTAATTTTTTCGACAATTTATAAAATTCTTTGATATAGGGCCAAGGATTAGAGACGTCATGTTGGTCTCAGTCTCCCGATACGCTCTTGCCTGTGTTCGACCTTTCAGACATTTCAACATCTTTTCCTGAATCCAACATTGTAGCATGGCATAGACAATTCACGTTAGCAGTTTGAAGAACACCTGCTTGCTTCTGATGATTTCCATTGGCTAACCAGAGTGTTTGCGTTATGACTCATCTAATTACACTAGTTTTCACTAGATGTGGATGCCGTACATGACGTGAAATAAATATTTATAAACATTAATCCGAAGCAAAGAGTAACAAGTAGCATTTGTATTAAAAGTACAGATACTTGTGTGAAAATGTAATGAGTGGAAGTCAGAAGTAGGAAGGAGTAAAGTATAGATTCCTAAAAAGTGCACTTAAGTACAGTAACTAAGTATTTGTACTTTGTTACTTGACACCTGTGAGTGTATCATCTGGGATGTAATATCCCACTGCCTCCTATTTATTGTGCTGTACAATAAGGCAGTCTCAGAAAACCAGGCTTGTATAAATATAAAAGTCAGGATTGGGTTTCTCAGAGCCTGAACAGCATTATTCTGACCATTAGATATCCAAAGGGTCTTTATTTCCAAAGTGTTTTTATTTGCTGAGATGTTAAACGAGTGGTGTTGATTTACAGATTAGCAATGTGACCTGTGCTGCTGTATCGATGATATTTAGGCTCCCTCTACTGAACACTGTGAGGAGATCGCCTCTGTTACACAAATTATGTCTGAGATACTGTCCAGCACACTGACTGTAGTTGGTCTTTTAACTTTTAAACTTATCTTTGCAAGATTTGCCTGCATGATAGTGTGTATATTAGGAAATATCAGTTAGAAAATTAGTCTATATTCAGACTGAGGAATAAAAATGGCTGATGTTCAGAATTAAGGGTATTTGCTCAAATACTTTCTTGGATATCTCCTGATGTTGTTGTGCTGATTTAAATTCAATCTGATTTACTTAAACAAATTAGATCCTGGGTGTTTAGCTCTGCAGGGTTTGGCTCCTCTTTCTCAATCAGTGGAATCTGGTGGTGCAGTTCAGGAGTCGTCTTCCAAAAGTGTTAGAAGTGCATAGAAGGAAAAAATAACTGCAATTTTTGGTGAATTTTATTTTATACATGAGTTAATTTTATTTTCTGCAGGCGTCAGGCCCATCTCTGCGTCCTGGCTGCCAACTGTGACGAGCCCATGTACGTCAAGCTGGTAGAGGCCCTCTGCGCCGAGCATCAGATCAACCTGATCAAGGTTGGAGTTGAGTTTGCATTTGGAGTCTTAGCTGTTGGTGTTTCAATGCTGAGCTCTGTTGCTGTTTTAAAAAGTTGTGAAATGTACTGCTGTATCAGTGATGACAAACTGGCTCCCTCTACTGAACTCTGTGAGGAAATGGCCTCTGTTACCCAATTGTGTCTGAGATACAATTCAGTATAAAATGTATATAGTTGCCTCATTACTACGTATTAAAGCTCGACTAAATTAATTAATTTTGCAGGTTGATGACAACAAAAAGCTCGGCGAGTGGGTCGGTCTGTGCAAGATCGATCGCGAAGGAAAACCCCGTAAGGTGGTGGGCTGCAGCTGTGTTGTTGTCAAGGTAAAATTTGGCTGTCTAGATGAGTCATTGTTTTTGGCTTTCACTTGTTGAGATGGAAGCATAAAGATTTGGCTCGTACGGCCAGGCAAGTCCAGGTGTTGTGCATTGTGCCACGCAGCTGTCTAATTCCTGGCTAGATAACAGCCACAGTACGAGCCTCATCATCCAACTGTGATATCTGGGGTCCCTGGAAATGGCTACATGCATTAATGCAGTAGTATTTTCTGTCAAGTGACTTCAAGAAGAAGTTCTGAAGACTTCAAAGAATGACTTAAACTTGAAAAGTAGACACTTCTAAATGTAGTCCAAGTTTTGCTAAATCACTAAGGTTTATCCTGATGTCTGCCTACAGCTGTTTGAGCTCCTTCAGTGCATCATGCAGACTAATCTTGTTTTCTTTGCAGGATTATGGCAAAGAGTCTCAAGCCAAGGATGTCATTGAGGAATACTTTAAAGCTAAGAAATGAGATGTTAATAAAACGTGGAAATTAATTTTGCCTCGTGTGTTTGTTTTTTTTTTGTGATTTGAGCTCTGATTTTGAAATCCTGGTCATCTTCTACATGCTGTGTTCATGTCCATTTAATGTCATATGCTTTGATCAATGACCAAATTGCAAAATGTTCTACAATATGCTGGGAAAGCGCTCAGTAATTTGTAATACTGTTTTATATCCTAACTGGAGAAAGACCTTCAGATGCATGACTTAAAAAAAAATAAAAAAAAAATAAAGCCACAGGTAAAGATCAAATCCTTACAATTTAATTTGACAAAACCCATAACATCCATTGTTCTGAAATTTATTGGAAATAATTTACAGAAGTTTTTACCACAGATAGCAATTTATTACAAGTTTTCTGCCAGGAAGAAAACCTTAGAAAAACATGTACCCCAGTATACATGACAGAATCTACAGAAGTTTCTTAGGATTATTAGTTTGGAGGCGACCATCCATTCCATGTGAGGCAGCGTCCTTTATGCCAGAGCGCTGATCAAAGGCAGGTTTTCAACCAAAACATCCCGGAAAGTTCATCCTTGGGTTCTCTATCAAGATGCATAAACCACTTTTCAAATAAAGAGCCAGAGCAGGAGGGCTTCCTTTTCAATTATCCCTTACCCCCACCAACTTAAGACTGTTAAGAGTTCATCAATCCAGACGTTCAAAATAAAAAGGGATCAAACCATTGCAGTCTAACGTTTGTTCTTAAATAGTTGTACAAAAGAGGGCTGCTTGTTTTCGTCAACATTTCATGAGTTCATATTGCTGTGGTGGTTACAGGTATTCGAACTCCAATGCTTGGTGTAATGCCAGCAGGTCAGAGTGACTTGATATCCTCCAGAAAGGCATGTTGTGCTGTAAAACAGACATAAGGGTTAAAACCAGAAGCTGTTGCTCTGCAGCTTACCACCACCACTACAGTGCACTATGTACAGCAGCTGGAACTGAAGACTATGCTAAAGCACCACAAACAAAACATGCAGCACTAACAATTAGTGGGGAATGTGCTCATCACCTTCTGCTCTGGGAGTTAACTCAAACCACATTCAACAGGTATCGATATTCAGAAAAGTTGCACATGAGATTTATTAAAACTAATACAAGTGATAAAGGTATGTCCTTTTTTATAGAGCAGTTCATGAAATTCTAACTGCTTTGTGACATTAAGATCTTGATAGCCAGTCTGCACAACTAGACTAAACTACATTGATGACAAATGTACTAAAAAGCATTTATATACATTTTTAATTCGTATTTGCTAATAAAATGTCAATTTACAACTTTATATAAATGTCTTATATTGTTAATGACAAATCATACTAAGCTGTGTTCTCAAGTTCAGTGAAATCCACCAAAAAGTGTTTTTTTAATGGTATTTAATAAATCTATATGCATAGCTCTACATGAAAGTATGCTCAGATTCATTTTTTTCAACCTGAAGCAATTAAGTTGTAAGTAAATCTTTCCTGCACACAACTTCAGGTGATCAGCTGGTTTGTATTTTCGACATTCTCAGAATGTTTTTAAAATCTTCAAATTGCTATTTCATGTGGAAAACAGCAAAACTAGCTACCTGTTATTTGTGTCAGCACACAGAAACTTGGACGTTTATTTTTATTTTATTTTTTTCTGGCTCACAAAAAAGAAAGGGACAAGAACATTTCCCCATCTTAAAAACAAAAATCCCAATTCCAAGCATCAAAAATAAAAACCCCAACTGGAAAGTATTCAGAACGAAATTCTCTGTCCAACTATGGTAAAGAAAAACTTTTTTAAAAGCTGCATTTCCCTTTTGTATTCAACTGTAGCAGAAATTAGAAAAAGGAGTGACATCACCGGATCAAAAGCAGCATATAGCTCTAAACACATTCAAAGCTTGGCTGTTGAGTACACTTTGGCAGGCTGTCACTTAAACTGAGCAGAAACATGCTCCAGATGCTGGTTTAAAAAAAAAAAACATCTGTAGTGCGCATAAGCCTTTAAAAAACCATATTAAAATACCAGTTTCACACTACAAGCATGATATAAATGGCTAAATTTTAAAGAATGAACATTAATTTCTACTGATTCAGTAGAAAATTTTATTCCCAGTCCTAAACAGTTATTTCAAAATATTTGATAACTAATTGTGTCAAATAGATCCCACTCTGCTGAGAAAAACAGAGAAGCTGATATTTGATTTATTCCATCGTATTAAATTCACCTCACATCTGGTAATAACTAAATACTGGATTTGACTTTTAATTTTAAGATCGAAAATCTGGGAGTTCTGCTAATATTTTATTGCTAACTCCTGTCATCAACACATGGCACTATAAATTATTTCCTTCAAACACAAAGGGAACATAATGACGAAATAAATTTTATTAACAGCTAATAGTTTTCTTTCACTTTGATGAAATATACTCCTTGGTAAATCGCACTGTGATGTGCTTGTTTTTTTGAGCTTGAAAGATCTGACTTACAATCTTGTCATGGCTTTCCAACTGTAGTTTTAAAATTAGGTCTAAATGAAATATATCTAGCTTTTACAGTATGACTGTGTTTTGCATAGAAATTTTTTCCATCTAGTAATCAAGGAAAAGCTAAAACCCTTCTGCCATTTTAGTCTAAGTACACAGAGCAAGAGAAAATCTCACCCTCAAGTTTTTTAAAGTCTAAACTTTTGTAAACTGATATATAGATTCTGTTCCCTTGCCAACTTTTTTTAGATTGAATTGCCAAAGCATACTCAATTTTTCAAGCTTTATTCTTCAGTATTCATTGTAATGGTTGCAGCGAAGTTATCCCAGCACACTGTAAAAAAAAAAGAAGCCAGTAGTCCAGAGAAAGTCAAAGACCAACACAAAAACTGCTGCAGCAAAGAAAGGCAGTTGTTGTCCACTCAGAGCTCACGCTGTGCAGACTTGGGCGGATTGGAGGGATGTCACAGTAAGGTTGTGGGTCCGTTACCTTTTTGGCTGCCTGTTCCTCTTCTACACCGTCCCCAATAACAACATACACTACTTTCCTGCCAAACCTTTGCATTATGCGCTCAAAGCAACTCTCTTTTCCTGCAAAAAAGAAATGAACAGGGGGGAAGGAAGGAGGGTAACATGGTCAGAGGGCTCAAAGCTCGGAAGCTGTTTGATTACCTGGCTGGCGGCATGCTCTTCATCCTTCCCATCGCCAATCACAACATATGTAATGTTAGTGCCAAAGCGGGAGACTATACGCTCAAAACAGCTCTCTTTGCCTGGAGACAAACACACGGCTTTCACAGATTTATCACTTTTTTTAGATGGATATAAAACACAGGAGGGATGCATAAAAATTATTTCCTGATAAAAGATGCAAAGGATTCTTTAACGCCTCCATAGCATTCAATCAAGTGTATTAAGTTACACTTAATATGTGCAAATAAACGATAAGAATGATATTGCCTTCTTTGCGCAGCTTATCTTTTACAGTCGTATTGTTACATCCCTGCTGCTTTTTTAACTACATGCATTTCTATTCTTTTTACATCTACCTTTTTTAAATTAGCAGTGAAGCCTAAGAGCTTAATCTAAAGGTTTGTGTTTTTAAAAATATGTGCAAAACTTGACAGTGCATGCAGAACTGCTCTGCTTTTGTCATGAGTGAAGCAGCAAGTCCAATCAGTTTGCCTTACTTAATATGCAGAAGAACATAAGATGATTATCTGAACACCCAAAAGAATGGGAGGAAAATATGCAAATATAATCATTTTGCATCTGCATGTTGCTTTAACAAGAATGGAACTGATTGCAGTTGCTGTTTTTGCATCTATATTTAGCACATTTCACAAGCAGGTGCAGAAGTGATGAAGAAATGCCTGGTCTTTTCAGAGAGAAGGGGCATAGGTGCAACGATAGACAATGAAAGTAAATAATCTGTGCATCTAAAACAGTCAGAAATAAACTTGGAAAAGATATCGTCGACTCAACAATGCCATGTTTGAATTGTGGATGACCTAGGGGGCTAACTGGGAACCAGACACAAATAAAAACCACTATCTATTGAAAATGGTAGCGCTAACACTGCACTATGTCTGGATTGATCAATCCCGTGCATCCATGCAGTTAGTGTTGTGCTGTCCACAGGTACCAATACATTCTAGAGGCCAGGGGGCCTTTCGGGTGTTCATAACCTTGTATGTGTCCATGCATACCTTCACGATCATCAGATCAATTGGAAAACTAGTTTGCACTAATTATCTTTGGAAATAGATACAATTTATAAAAAGAACTGCAGCTCTGCTGTGAATATGAAGGTGCTGCTTATCCACAAAGAAATGGGCCTTTCTCTGTATCAATTAATGGTAAAATCATTCATTGAAAACCAAAGAACAATGCATATTTAATCATTGCTAACCCTTTATAGTGAGCTCAGGGAAAACTTCAGGGAAAACTTCAAGACTAGAGTTTCAATGAAATCCAGGACAAGACCTTATTACCTTTGTAACATAAAAAAACATATATTTGTATGGCAAAAATGTATGTCAATGTGATAACAAGTAATGCCCACTTGCCCTAATATAATAAGAAAAATAACAAAAGTTCAGAAGAATAATGAAAAAGTGCAGATAAAAAAACTAAGTGAAATAAATTTTTTTTGTGACATCATAACCTTAGAGCTTTAATCCTGATACAGTAACATTTAACTTTTTTAACTTAGCTTATTAACTTCACTTTTTAACTTTTCAATTAGCTTGTTTACTTTTTCACTTAGTTTTTTACCTGTCAATCAAGGGCTCATCTAATTGGCCTAAAATAACTTATAGAGCCATGTAGCAGTATCTTAGCTTAATGGCTGGATATGAATTTTGTGCCTCTGGACCTCACTGAGGGATGGGAGGACTCATTTATTTGGAGTATGCAAGTGATTAAAAATAGTAACTTGTCCTATAAAGGATTAAGAAGCAGTGATTGAGCAGTCTTGGTCAAGTTTTAGGAGCAGATACAAGGCCTCTCTGTTGTATGAAAGAGAAGTTGC